TATTATTATTATTATTTTTCTCAGGTTCTTTTTATATCTCTGGGCCTTACTGTAAACCAGTTTTTTTAAACAATGCAATTACGATACATTTTAGTCCCCCAGTCCACAATGAAACCACAGCAGTTATGAACTGATGCAATCCTTGTGAGCAATGCTCTGTCCGGGACCTCCACTCCCAGTACAGCAGGTGCTCACCATGAGCATTTCTACACGGCAGTTATTCTCTGTGGATTAGCTAGTGTTACATATTTCCATGTCAAAAGGCCTGCCCTAGTCAATACGCATAAGCAATTATTATTATTATTATTATCATAATGCCACTTCTATGCTGACACTATTTAGTGTGCAGCCTTGTCTTTTCTCAGCCAACAACAGGTGTGCTGTTGATTTAATCTTTGGTAAACACCTGAGTGAAATTTTAATTTAATACATTCTCACTTTTTCCCCTAACTATAACGTACATTTATAATATATATATAGAAATAAGCTATTTAAGAACACAAATAACTGGACAAAACCTAAGGCCCTCTCTCACATTTATAGATGGTGTCTATGTACCGTCATGTAAAGAGTTTCAGCTGCTGTTGTGTATTTTAAATTATCTGACCGAAAATGCATGTTTTCGTATTTCCAGTAGCCTGTTCAACCGGCGTTTCGGGAGTGCTCGCTAGGTGGCGCTTTCGTAAAGCTAGTCAAATTTGCCTGCTTGTGGGACTATGAATAGGGATAGTACGAATAATCGAGTTGCAGAAAATATGCTTTTGATCGCGAAAATGCAACATTTTACTTTAAACATGATGCATTACTTTTGACGATATGATTTTACCACTATTATATTTTTACAAGACGTTTTATTTCGTTTGCATAACGTTAGAACCTTAATATTATTATTTACTTTGCCCGAATGAAGGTAACTTGGCATCGATTACTTTCGACTTCGGAAAATATGGCGCTGTAGGTACTGAGCCCTTTTTTTGTCGAGCACCGGTCTATGCAGCAATGTGTTAGCAGACCGGCCCGGTACGCAAGATACCTGGCGATCGTCAGAAATTGTTCACGTTTTCAGGTTTGGGGTATGTCAGCTGTCATACAAAACATTTTTTTTTTGTCACCATCTTGATGTGTCTTTGTGTGTGGCGTGGCGAATGCTAAGTGAATCAGCATATATGTATATAAACTCCCCCCCTTTAGTGTTGATCTTAACGCACTGTTTAACTTTGTCTAAGCAATATGCTAGCATGTCTTTGTGATCCGTACAAAACTCATTGTGTTCACGAATGCCTGTTCGTGAACTGTATAGTGTAAGAGGTGGAGTAATTGTGTTTCTGTAGTATGAGCATTGTGCTGATCTTATCATATGGAGAGTGAGGCCTGTCACACAGTTTACACCGGTGTCTTGCACCGCAGCGTAATCCTAAAACGCAGACAGACTACCCACCTTTATAATTTAAAACTTGTAACCTGTAAAACGTGGTCAGTAATTTTTGTTTTTTTAATTTTATTTCGAAGACAGATTGCAGTTACTCTTAGTCGATTGCGCGCACCTTTCTAATACTATAATAATAGATCGTTTGCTGTGACTTGTCGGTACAGTATGGTATCCAGGTACCTGTTATACCGTTTAAATATGAGTTAGGTATTAATAACTTTTGTGTTTAGTTGTTCGCACAGAGAATTTGTCATTGTATTTACAAAGGATATTTATTAACTTGCAACTTAAAACGGAATTATTACCTTAGTAATTACAGTACATCACAACCACGCTGAACACTTGGTGAGTATGTCTCGGAGATATACAGTACGAAACGAGACGCATTACTGTGATGGGATAGGGATTAATGGTAGGTTGCTGTAATAATTATAACAGTTAAAGGCAGACTGGGCGCCTGGCGAGCTGAGCAGGTTGTTAAGGCGCATCTTTTGACAGCTGTGGCAAAAAAAAAAACCCCATCGAAGTAGAAACCCTGCTCATAGACATGTCTACAGCGGTCAGACGTACAGTAGTTTCCTCTACGAATAAAATTATCCGAATAATATCCGCACGTCCCTTTATTAAGACTTAGTACCGTGTCTTACAGAGAAAATGCTAAATTGGTTGCATGCACTTTATGATTGCTATGGGAGGCAGCTCTTCCAGTATCTTAAAAGGGAAGTACACTTACTAATCACTGCAGAAGTCCTTATGGTTAAGTACTGAGAAAAACTATATTTAATTTTGAAACAGTTTTCAGAAAAAGTTGCAACTTACATATGCTTTTGTGGCTCTTTTAGTGATTCAAGACATTTCAGATAGAGTCTGGTTTCCCTCATTTTTTGTTTGCACTTTGTGTCCCTAGCTTTTGTGCTTATTGGAAAAATCCACAAGCTGTCCATAGGATTTGAAAGCGGAAACCATCCATTCTGGGAATTTGCTTTGAATGTGTGAATTTGAGGTGTTTGTGTTTTGTAGCTGGTGATTATTTGAGGGTTTGATATTCAGGTGAGGCTGAGTAGTAGGGAGAGAACTGCTATAAACTAAGGTTGCAGCAATGTTATATCAATTTATTTATTCAGCAAACGTTTATAGATTTGAACATGATCAACAGCAAAAGGCTAACAACATTATTCATTGTGACCCTGCACTATGACTATGGTGTGCAGAATAGATTTAATATGGAATCTAGGAGTACTGAACATAAAAAAAATCACTCAATAATGACATTAGTCATATTAATACAGTATATCTCCTATTATATCTCCTTAGGTTTGAGACAAAACACTCTCTTATTTTCGTTTTTTTCCAGGATAATATAAATTAATGCGAGACATTCCTTAAGTCTTAACCTGAGCACATTGTAGAGTATGGAGTATCGTGTGAATTGTAGTGTCATGTAGGCTGTCATGCCCGAATTCTTTCAGGTTTCAATGTACACTTAGTGTACAGCTCCTGTTGTGTTTAACGACAACAGAACATTTTCAAATTCCAAAGAAAGAGTCAGTGTGTGTGCATGCGGGCTTTTCTGGCCCTTGTGTGCCTCACAATGAAAGCAGATTGCTTTGTGCTTTGTCCTTTCTTAACGAATAATCAGCCTCTTAAATACTAATCATCTCTCTTTCCCTGTGTTGAAGGACGCTCTGTCCCTTTACTTTGAGAGCGGGCACTGCTGTGAGCTGGAAAATGAATGTGGAAGGCGGGCACAGTGTCATGACTGTATTCGCTGCACCCCACTGGTGAGGGCTAGTGCCCTTTCATGCCATTCCGTTCCTTTTTCAAATTAACACTTGTCAAAGTTACAGCGTCCCTGCTGTGCCTCTGTCCCAGTTATCTGTCCCTGATGTAGAGAACGTACCACGCTTGAGTTTTAACGGCATGACAGATAATGTCACAACTCCAGTTCTGTGCCGATGAGTCTTGCTTTTTTATGATGTTATTCCTCTGAAACAGAAGCCCTGTTTTCGTGTTTCCTTTAGCCTCCAAAGCCCCAGCATCCAGGATGAGTGACCAAGCAGTCAAAAGGATAGTGAGTGAGATCATCCGGTCTCCGGAAGACAAGCGTGTCTACCGGGGGTTGGAGTTCACCAATGGGCTCAGGGCCATGCTCATTAGTGACCCCACAACAGACAAGTCTTCAGCAGCGCTAGACGTGCATATAGGTATGTATTCAGCTGTGTAGATGCTGTTAACAGCCACAGCCATCTCACACTGCTTCTGCCCAAAACCAGTAATACGAGGGTGTTGTTTTCTTCCACTTGAAACATATCGAAATCCAGAATGCATGTTGACATGGGTACTTCGTGGCATGCGGACTCATTATGAACAGGATCCATGCTTTCAAGATGTGTCCTGTGTGCTTCACAGTCATCTGCAGTAGTATAGTGAGATGTCTTTAAGCAGATGGATTGGTTGAAATGAGTAAAGGGCAGATTTTGTTAAAGAATCTATTGGACCTAAAATTGTACTTTTATTTTTTTTTATTCATTTGCGATGTTTTGCATTCTTTTTGGTCTTCCATTCACAAAATTTAAGTACTTAAAATATGGCCTGTTAAAGAGTCTCTGAAGCAGTCCATGGGATGTTTGATAAGAAAAAGCTGCTGTTGGCAGTGTTGTAGAATTATTTTTTCGTACTCAATTGCTACAATGTGTGGTTGTATATTGCATGGTGAATTGCACAGTGGCGTGTCAGTTACCACTACCTCTTTACAGCTTGGGTTCGGAGTTCAGTTCTGGATTGGGTCTGTTGCTCTGTAGAGTTTGCATGTTTTTCAGGTTTGGGTGGGTTTTTGCCGAGGGCAGTGGATGAATGATATTCTACAGTGTGGGAAAGAAATGTCATTGCAGTGTACCTCTTACTTGTGCAGGTTCGTTGTCTGACCCTTCCAACATCTCTGGTGTGGCCCATTTCTGTGAGCACATGCTGTTTCTGGGCACTGAGAAGTACCCCAAAGAGAATGAGTACAGCCAGTTCCTGAGCGAACACGCTGGCAGTTCCAATGCCTTTACCAGCGGGGAGCACACCAACTACTATTTCGATGTGTCCCACGAGCACCTGCAGGGGGCGCTAGACCGGTAAGTGCTGTCAGTGGGTGCAGACCAGAGATTAAGAACTGCTTGGTTACCAGGGCTGCTGCTAGCTTCACTTTAAAACAGACGGTAATTCTGGATGATTGTCCTGGAAGTTATGGTGCCTGATTTGCGTAGTAGCGCAAAGGGACACAAACACTGAGTCACTATTATTCAATGCTTTTTAAGACCAAGTTCAGATGCTGTCTATGATGGAGGGGCAGACCTGGGTTTGAGTCCACAGAGACCCCCGTAAACTTTAATAGTGCCCTGAAATCCAGAAGCAAAGGCTACAATAAGCAAAAACTACATAATAAAGAGAAAAAAGGATTAAAGGACCAGTGTGGCACATTAAGAATAAGCAGTCACTTCTTTCTCTTTATGTTAAACAGCATGCAGTGTCGATGATATTCATGTGCTTGGGTACTATGCTAGAGTGAATAAATGAATCGGTAGGTGCATCCAAACTGCAAAAGCAGCTTAATCCTGCTGAGGATCCCCGAGACCTAGTGCACGTCTCTCTCCTGGGCAGGAAGCCAGCCCGACACAGTGGTTCGGAAAACAAGTGGTTTGGAGTTTCAGTTACTCCCCCACTTTTTGTTTTTAGAATAACTATGACATTTCATCTGGCCTTTTGTAAAAAATAAAGCTGTTTAGCAGTGAATTATTCACACAATAACCTTATTTTATTGCCAATCAATGTTTATTTCCTGGCAGTGCATGTGGAGATCTTTAAGTGGTACGTGTTAAGCAAGAAAATAAAAAAAGGTCTTTCAATGCAAGTAGTTATAGTTGCATAGTTGCAAAGTAGTTAGACTTTATGCGTTTGTGTTGATTGAAATTCAGCACTTGCCAATAATGTATGATTCATCATATTTTTTTTTAAGCGGCCTGTTTGACATTCACACTCTCCAAACCTGTGCTTCTTTGTTACAGTCAGCCACTGCTGCTGCTGGTGGTCAGGCCATTTCTCTCACCTGGTCTAAAAATAATATTGTACAGTTTAATATTGCCCAGTATATAAATGTACAGATAGAAGGAGGGTTATTTCCATTAATTTAAATTATTCAAAAGAGAAAATGACAAGAAGAATTGAACCTTAAACCCATGGTGAAAAACCCATGTGTTACAGTTAATCCATATCTTCAATTAACTGAGTGAGCAGTGGAATGCATCTACTGCTTGACAGAAAAGAGAATGTTGTTGTAGAGACTAATTAAAATTAGTTCAAAGTGTGGTCACTGTCCAGTAAGTAAAAACTGTGTGTAGATTCTTGTTACTTTTGATTTAGATTTTGTTGCCATTTCACTTGTAGCCCTGTCTTTGCAGCTCAAGGCGGTTTTAAAATTTAAGTAGGTTTCCGAAGACAAGCCAAGCTCTGCCTACATGGAGAGAGCATCTGGGCTTGGCCAAAACAGCTCTGCATATCAAACCCCAGTTTACCAGTTTAACAGACTAAGGAGGGGATGGGTGGGAGGGCTGTCCATTATTGCCAAATGTTGGTTTAATCACAAATGATGTTTTTTCAACCGTAAAACACACTATTATATGAAAAAAAATTAAATATTGTACTGTTTATGCTATTATTTTATCTGGATCTTTTAACTATTTTTTTTTAAATTGTAATCAACACTCTCTTTGAAATTTGTTTCTGTGCCATTTTATCGTAAATGTACAGTACAAGCTCTTTATTTTGTGTGGAGCAAATATACTGTATGAAATTTGCTAAAGCACGCAAATCAGAAACAACACTCATTGTAAGCAATTAACCTACCCCTAAAGGGCACCATTGATGTTCTTGAATTTTATACCTGTTTAATATTTTATTATTTGTCCATTTCCTTGTTATTGCAGGGAAAGTCCAGCATTTATGATTTACAGACAAAATTCCCCTTAAGCATATTTTGTTTATTTAAACCAAAGTCCATTAAACCAAGGTAGTTAGTTTACTGCTGTTCTGGAAATCAGACTCAGACATAGGAACATATGAAAGATTACAAGTTTTTAGCCCATCCAGCTCTTTTAGTTGCTGGTTATTATTTTAATCTGACGATCTCCAAATGCCATTTCTTGATAGAAGCCCGGGTATGAGCTTCAACAACACTGTTGACTTTGAGGAAGTCCGGTGGGTTTACTTAGTCAATGATTTTCTTGAATTGGGCCCTTCATGGTTTTGTCTGCTTAAGACTAAAATGATTCAGTTCTTTTAGCCTGTCAGAGTAGGACATTCCTTTAAGCACAAAAATGTATCAGGTCACTTTTCTCTGGACTTGGAGCAGCAATATCTTTTTTTAGTCCTGTAAAAGTCAAATAAACATTTAGTGTGAAATACATGGTACATTTCTATGTGCTTTATCCTTCATGCATTTTTCCTCATTAGTAAGAGCTTGGTGCATTAGCATGTGTAGCAAGTGGGATCTGTAAGCTTTTGTGATGTGCTTACAAGAGTGCTGTGTATAAGTGAACAATGAGGTTGTCAGATATAAAATTTGTAGTTGATTTCGTGTGTCAAACCCTTGATGGGGGCAGTGGTTTTGTGTGGCAAAGAAACGTTGTGAAAGGTTGTGCCTCATACAACAGAATAGTTACAACACAAGTATTGTTTGTCTGTCTTTATTTACCCAGTCTAAGAGTTCTGAGTGTAAGACACTGTAAACCCTGTACATATCCAGACATAACAAAGGCTATTGAAATCCTCCACACCCATTAAAACAAATATTCAAATTTCATGCAGATCTTTCAAACAGAGTGGAAACATTCTGGAAACCAGCTTTGCCTTTTATCTTTTCAATGTCTCCTTTCATTCTCGGATGCTAAAAACCCTGAACCTTTTGCACCTGAGTGAGAACTAGTGTCAATTGCTGTTCTTTACCCAGGAGTGTGAAATGTGTGAACAAGCTGACCAGCCATGTTGTTGACGCTGATCCCTTGGCCTGTTGCAAGAAATGGCTGGATGAGATACTTGAATCAATAAGCTGCTAAAAACAAACTAACCAGCTAGATGGGCTGGCTGACGACCTCTCATTTGCAAACTTCCTTATATTCTTATAGTAACTCTAAAAGCCAGTGTGAATGCTGTTGGGGCAAACTGTAATACTGTAGGAAACTGAAGTGGAGTTGCAGAGACCTGGTGCCCTGATGAGACCTCCTCCTTTCTGTATTTAGGTTTTCCCAGTTTTTTCTGTGTCCCCTGTTTGATGAGAGCTGCAAGGACAGAGAAGTGAATGCTGTGGACTCGGAACATGAGAAGAACCTGATGAACGACGCCTGGAGGCTCTTTCAGCTGGAGAAGGCTACAGGCAATCCCAGCCACCCTTTCAGTAAATTTGGAACAGGTCAGGCATTCGACGGTTGCACGCTGCTATCTTTGTACCGTGCAGTGAAAAAAACGCAAAGGTGCATCGAGGTATTTTAGTTAACCTGGATCTGTTTTTTTGTGCTTGGTCGAGTGCAGAAGAGCGCTGACAGGTTGGTACACACGTTGTCCTATAGGTGGCAGCAGCACATTATGTTAGCACTCATTGTTGCACTTTGTCCTTTAACAAAGGACACAGGACCCATATAAACTGTGAGGCTGCAGCACTGGGTTTGTGTTTATACTGCTCTGTTTCCTGAGAGTAGGCAAGCTGAAATAACAAATTCACCGAAACATACTGTTCAAAGTCATTACTATACAAAGTTTTTCACGTCATTTAAAAAGCATCGTCATCTTAAATCTCAATTACCGTTTCATCATTTAAATGATGAAATGTCCCTGATCTCTTCATGTTTATTAGTGAAGTTTAAGGCCCTTTGTTTCCTGACATGAATTAAATAGTAATAAATGACACAGAGACTGTTTTGTTTTTCATTCCAAGAGCACTCTGTCTGTCATTATCTTTCTTTTAATCTGAATGTATGATTTGCAAATAATTTGTGTTGAACCCCCGAGCTGGACTAGCCGGCTGTGTGATTATTTTGACGGCGGGGCTCTGTGAGCCCTGCGAGAGGAGAAGGAGGAAGTCTAGGGAGAGCCCTCCCACTTCCCGCCTTTGAGCCACTCGCTTTTCCACATGTCCCAGGCTCTGGATCGCCCTCCTCGGCTGTGGGGGGCGCCGGGCCGCCGACAGCCGAGACAGGCCTCTGCCGACTGATGCCAACTCGCCCTCCGCAGCCATTGGCCATCTGCGCGCCACAGCCTGTGGGCTCTGTCACGGCTGGTTTGAACCTGTGATCGTAGAGGAGAGCATCTTTACCGGCTGAACCTCTCAACATCCCTTCATTTCATTAACCCGAAAGCTCCCGGGCCAGCTGATTAGCCTTTTCTTTTCTGATTTCTGTCACATTAGGTGATGAAACAGTTGATCACAAAGTGGATGTTGCATGATTGAGGGAATTCGATGAAGGCACCCTTTGTAGAACCGATCTCGGCAGTACAATTGCTTAAATAATGCATCGGTTTCTTTTTCCCTTCTGGTACCTTCTGATGCCTGGGATTGAAGTGTATTTAAACATGAATTTCTTTTTTCTCCCCTGCAGCTCTGCTCATTTTTGTAGGCTATCCTCCGAATACATTGTAGTTCTGTGCACAAACCCTCTGCTGCTCTATCGATCTGTTCAGCTTTATACTCATCTCGGCTCAGTGTGTGTTATTTATAGCTGTAAGGCCGGCGTTAATGATAGTCTAAAGTGCCTCATTTCATGTGACCACCACAGCGATAATATTTCAAGAGGCTTGGAAATGAACGCTTAAGCCTGGAGCTTTTCAACAAAGAACAAATGTTATACTGTGTTATTTAAATGGAAAGTGAACATAAAGTGGAATTGAGACCCTTTATTATTAACATATTCCTTTAGTTTGTAAACAGTAGTTCTTGTTTTGTGTTATTTATTACATGTAAATTCAACATATACTTTATTTCTTTTTTGAAATATAAATTTTACTATAGAAAATACATAGGAGCTGAGTATATGCTCTATATTCCTGTTATATTTTACTGGCAAACTGTTTTATGCTTGCCACACTTATTTTCCTATGTATGAAATTGACTGCTGGCATCTTCAAAAAACAGTCTCCTCTTGGCTCCAGTCTTGCTGTGTTGAGGAGAGGATTGTGAGGCTGATTCGAGGAGACTGTCAATGAATTGCTAGGTCAGCTTCTAATGGCAGATCATTGTACAGCACTGCCGACTCCAGTAATAGCACAAGACTTAAATAATCCCCCATTCTTCTTTTTTACTTTGTAATTTGTACTCTGCCGACAAAGCTGTTTTCATTCCAGATTTCAGCCTGGACTGGGTTCTTCTTGCTAGGTTTTATTTGGGGACTTTAAAATATTCAGATGGGCGGAAGCCGGGGGTGCCAGCCCAGATGCTACGAGTAGATAGACCCGTGGCTCAGATATAGTGCCAGAGTGAATTGATTCTTGATTTTCCAAGACGCATCTCCTGTGCTATTTCCTTTTGTGCTGCCATTGTTTTGCTTTATGTTGCAGTTTTTAACAAAGGGGCTTAGAAAATGAAATGCCCTTCATGTTGTAATCTCAAGAGTAATAGTCTGCAGGCTGCTGGCTTTTTTAGTTTTTATTTGACTTTTTTATATATGGATGCTTCCTCAATGTAGAACGGTGTTGGTGTTATTCCGTTAAAATACTGCAGGCCAATTATGTCTTACTTTATTAATGTGTCTACAAAAATCATTTTAACTTTGGTTTTCTGCCTTTTTTAACAGGTAATAAATTAACCCTGGAAACCAGGCCCTCTAAAGAAGGCATAGACATTCGGCAGGAGCTCCTTAAGTTCCACTCCACGTACTACTCCTCAAACCTCATGGCCCTGTGTGTGCTTGGCAGAGGTGAGTGCAGGAAAGCAGCTGTTTAAATTGAAAGAATTCCATGGTGTTTGAGATTGTACAGTTTATTCCAGCGCCAGGGGAGCACAGCAGGTTGTTTTTAGAGGCATGTGCGCTCAGAAACCTAAAGAGGGACTGCTGGTATGTCTCTCTTCTAATCTAGGCTGTGCTGTTTTTACAAAGTCATTGTTTGGCATAGCGAAGCATGTAAAGAGCTCTTCCCGTTTCAGTGCTCAAGTCTATACTGGTAAACCCTGCAGGATGAACACTGGATACAGGAATGTGTTATGGAAAAAGTTGGATTTCTTTCTTCTAAAAATCGACTGTACTGGAAGTCTGTCTGAAGATTTTAGATCTTTCCATTTTGCCTTGTAAGTTGGATCATGCCCACATAAGGGGAATCAAAGCTGGGAAGTATGAAAATCTGTCTTAACACACGGCAAGCCAAACCACCTTTATTCCCAGCTCATCACAGTGTTTTAAATCTAATTCTTGCTTCCCTGACATTCCAAATGAACCTTGAAATTAGTTTGGCCCACTTGTTAAACTCCTCTGGAGAGACCTCATCTGGCAGAGGCTGGAAAGAGTACTTTTTTATTTCATTAGTACTTTAATGGAAGTGGATGTGGAGCATAGCTGTTTATTCTCTTGCTTTATTTGATCTCATTTTGACAGGTACACTTCTGGAAAGTGCAGTCCTAGACAACTGATGTTGATTACCTGCTCACCATAAATTTTCTTTGATCTGATAGGATGAGATTAGCCAACCTTGTTGTTTTTCACTTTTGATTCGTACAGAGACATACTTTCATATTTCACTGAAAGATCCAAAGCTTACAAAAAGGGAATGCCTGGGTTGTTTGAGGTATAAAAGCACATCATCTGTCGGCAGCTCAATTTTGTCTTCTTGTGTTTTAATGTTTGTCCCCTTAACTGTCAGGCTTTGTCTTATCTGTTGCCCTAGTGGTTCAGTATATGAAGAGAACCTTAATTTGTGCATACGGTTCTCAATATGTTGTTTTAGTTTCATTTATAATTTAAAAGCCACATGTCTTTAAGTGTTTGACCTATTGAAAGTATGTCTTAATTTAAGTCTGAAAAGCAGAATGTTCGTTAGCTTTTGAGCCTTCATCAGATGTGAGGACCCTGTTGTGTTGTCAGCCAGTTTGTCCTAAATAATATTAATATTTTTCTCTTTGCCATGATTTATACATAATTGTACATACAGAATAAAAAAAATCCACAGGTAGCTCATTAGGTTTCATTTTATAGTATGTGTTTTAAAAAAGAAAATATTATTCACAGAATTTAATTTCATGCAATGCACACTCAAGGTCACACTAATCTGACACCTGTGTTGAAACAATATGTTGTATTAGACACATTTTTTGCCTCCAATCCAATTTAGTTGATGAATGGTTCGACACTCATCTTTAATTGCAGCGTACATTTTCTGGCTTTGGTTAAATCAGCTGTGCACCAGAACTGTGTAGTTATTTTCTGGAAATCCTTACTGATGTGATGGTTTAAAATAAGGTTACTAAGATTAAGATTAATGTTTAATATGTGAGGGTTTTGATTTTTAAGAGGAAGTGTGGGGTTGTTTTCTACCAGAGATTGCAATGTAATAAGTCGTATCACTAGCATATTGACTTTACTTTAGATCGTAATACAAATTTAACAGTCCACTGTTGGCACAAATTGGTCAATGATGGCTTTGTTTCCAACATTGCTCTATTAGCAAACACTAAATTTGGTCCACCAATTTTCTTGCTGGTTTGCGATATTTTTGTATCAGCTTAGCTATGAAAAAATACCATTAACATTTTGCTGTGTGTTATGGTTTAGCTCTTGTACTGTACGTTGGTTTTTGTAGGCTAACGTGTGACTTATTGACTTATACTTTTGTATCGAGAGACAAAACAAAACACGTTAAGTGACCTGTTTTCCAGTTTAACCTATGCAGCGCTTTCTGAATATTTTCCAGAAGGGTTCTGGATATTTAAAGCAACTTGACGAAGACGGATGTTTTAACAGATGGCCTGTTTTCTCTCTGTTCTTACCAGAGTCCCTGGATGAGTTGACCAGCATGGTAGTGAAGCTGTTTGCAGAAGTAGAGAATAAAAGCGTCCCTGTCCCAGAATTTCCAGAGCACCCTTTCCAAGAGGAGCACCTAAGGGTATGACTGATAGAGACTTTCACCAGCTCTCCTCCACGGGGGTGAAGCCCAGATCAGAATACTGCCACATCAGTGCTGATGGGACAGCCTCCCTTAAAACACAAAGTGATTCACCATCCATTTTTGGTTTTAGACGTATATTATCAGCAAATATTAGTTCTTGCCTTGACCTTTGAAGACACTCTAACTATATTGTTGAAGTCCTTGGGAATTTTGTAGACAGTGCTATTTAATTTTTAGCACTGGCTGCAGTGTTTCTGGTTGTTTCATTATGTAGCACCAAAGCTTAACCAATGGTGATGGAGTAAACAACACTTTTCTTATGTGTCTGTCAAAATCTGATTTACCCCTTTAGTGGATCAAAAAGTGGTTGAATCTGTAAGGCAGTTTAAATGTCTGGGGTTGACAGGCTACTGGTAGAGGAGATATGAAATTGTAATCGGCAAGAGAAAACATATTGGTTTTGCTGGTATTAAATATGTGTTAATTTACATAGTAGCGTTTAAAGTATTTCCATATGACATGGAGTAGAAATATTAGAAATCGGATTGTTTTAAAACCTACCTTCATATGTTTTTACAGCAATTTTATAAGGTGGTGCCCATTAAGGATATACGCAATCTGTACGTCACCTTTCCCATCCCAGACCTTCAGAAATATTACAAGTCCAACCCTGGGCACTACCTTGGTCACCTCATTGGACACGAGGGGCCTGGGAGCCTGCTCTCAGAGCTGAAAGCCAAAGGTAAGAGTGCAAGTGAAAGAGCAGCATCTTCATTTACTTCACACCAACACACACATCTGCTTCTATCAAGTAGAGTCTTTCTCATGGATAAACAGGGATACTTCTCTACAGTTTTGTCCAGATCATCTGAAGAAACATTTAGAGATTTCTGTTTCCTGGCCAATGAATGTAATCCCCATTTACATCTGTTATACTGTATGTTTCTGGATGCTCTTTCCAAGAGGTTAGGGTTCAGTGTCTGCATTATATTATTCTGCCAGTTTTAGCCCACTTTGACCTCTTATGTGTCAGTTCTTCCATAACTGTAGATCCATCCATTATTTGGAACAAAAATTAAGGTCGCTCATCTGACTGTTTGACGGATAGTTCTGCTTTACAAAAAAAGACCCAGGATGGCCAAACGTCCTTCATTTCTTAGGTTTCTACAGCAGCTGCTGAAAGTGTTTATGGATTTAGTTATGAAAAGACATTCTGTCCAATTCAGCATTCCCTTTTTCCTTTTGTTGAGCTCTCTACTGCAAGATAACTGGGGACAGTAAAAAAATGTATTGACATCTGATGGAAATTGGATATTTAGGAATAATTGACTTCACAGGTTCTTTTATACAGCTTTGAGCAAAAACCTTAATTTATTGCTATGTATTTGTGTATTGTTTCCTGGTATAGTGTCAGCACTCAGTATGTGTGAGGCTGGATCCCAGGTGGAACAGTAAAATATATTATCGTTCCGGGACTGCAGCTGTAGAGTAAATATTTATTGCTATAAGTTACACCTCACTCCGTTTTCTAAAAGAAGAAAACCAATCTGTTTCACTCCTTTACTGTGTGAAATTTCTTAGTTTAAAACACCAGAAATGTTTCTTTGCAGTACATTAAAGATTACAGGATACCACCAAAGGCAGCAAAGTGCTGTGAAGTCTAACATAATAACTTTGTTCCTTGTAATGCCCTTGAAACAGGGTCTAAGTACCAATACTTACAGCCTGTTTGTAAACATGAGAACCACAGTATCAGTAGACAATGAACATGTCTTTTAATGACTGGCTTTTCCCCTGCCCTTCTGTGCCTTTTGAAATATTTGCATTTTTATTATAGAGAGGGATGCCTCTCTATATTAAACATCTTGGACTGCACTGGATTTCAGTGAATATCCAGTATCCTGTATTTTGTTTGTAGTTACAGTACGTACGTTGGCCCTTATGTTTCTGTGTGAAATCTTGAATTTGTGACAGGCTGGGTGAATACACTCGTAGGAGGTCAGAAGGAGGGAGCGAAGGGCTTCATGTTCTTTATCATCAATGTGGATCTGACTGAAGAGGGCCTTTGTAAGTATCCCAAGAGGCTTTGTCCCCATTGCATTTCTGAAGACTTGCCTTGTCCTTGAGAGTTGTAAAGCACTGTTTCTCTGTTTCTGATTGCCCAGTGCACGTTGAGGATATCATTCTCCACATGTTCCAGTACATTCAGAAGCTTCGCACTGAAGGTCCACAGGAATGGGTTTTCCAGGAGTGCAAGGTACATTCTGAAATAATCCCACTGATAAAATGGAATACTGTCCTGATCTTTTCACCGGTGACAGAAGACTTTTCAGCAACCTAATCTAAACTTGTAAACATTATTCAAGTCTTTTGCAGAAAAATTCAGTCTTTCATCATTAAATGGATTACTGTGTGATTTTATTTTTCTGCCTGTCAGTAAAAGGGTATGATCCCTTTGATCTCTTCATTCGTGTAGTGACATTTCGTTACAGTGTTTTCTGTGTGTTCTTTTCAGGATTTGAATACAGTGGCCTTCAGGTTCAAAGATAAGGAGAGACCTCGTGGATACACTTCTAAAATCGCTGGTTTGTTGCATGTAGGTTGACGCTTATGTAATATTTCTTTTTGTGTCATTGCTTTCTGTGTTTGAACCTCCCTTGCTGATTCAAAAAAGATGAAAAAATGTATTTAAATGGTGGACCAGAATGCTACAGCGATTTATGGCCTTGCACATAAGCTAGCCTGGGAATACACATTTCAGAAATTAATATAACCGATTGAGCATTCAGAAAAATGATTGTGGGCTCAGCTGACACTTTGCATCAGGGTATTGTTGAGCAAGATCTTTAAAAGACTTTCTATCATGCTTGAAAATTAAGAAATGGGCACAGGGAAAATGTCAAATTGTGCCGTCTTTTTTTCTAAAATGAAAATGTATTTCACGTCTGACTTGTGATGTGTGCGCCTATAGAGTGTGCAAAGGTTTGCAGTTTCCCCCAGGTAAACCCCCAGTGACAGTGTGGCTGGTGTTTCAGTATTACCCCTTGGAGGAGGTGCTGGCAGCGGAGTACCTGCTGGAGGACTTCAGGCCGGACCTGATCGACATGGTGCTGGACAAACTGAGGCCAGAGAACGTCAGGTCAGTCACTGCAGCCTTTTCAGCTGGAAATAACTGCTATGCGGATTTCATTCCCCTTCAGTCCTGATGGGAGATTTTTTTTTTAAGGCTGGCTCAGTTTTTTTTTACCAGTGTTCAAATTATGTAATTAATTAAAACCTTGATTGCCCTTCTAGACCTTATCATTTTTTCCCCCTATCAGACTTTGCTGAATACATGTCTGTTATCTACTAATTGCGACAGGTTTCTCATGCTTGGTAGTTAAATGTTCGCAGTGAAGCTGATTCTAAGCTAAATGCTTTTTATGATCAGATGTAAGAAGCTTTTCTGAAATGATCAGAAAATTCCACTTTACCGGTTCCAGTGCAATATTTCTGCTGATGACTACCTTTGAACAACAGCTCTTAATTCTGTTGCCCCAGTTAAGACTAAATCAGTCCTACGTGAATGGCATTCTCTTTGTATTAGCAGTGACATCTGTCAAATAAACTTTTGGAAAGTGGAACGTAAGTGGGAAGATGCAGAATTACTTTTCAACTGTAACACAATCTTTATTGAGGTATAACGATCCTGTAAAATCAGCAAGGTGAGCTTATTTCTCCAAGCAATTAAGGATAGAGGAAAATAAAAAGATGCTTTCCTCAACAACCGTTTAGTTGGTATATTTGACATTTTAGCTGTCAGTTATTCAAGATTGCCACCTTCAGAGTGTGAAGCATTCCTTAATTACTTGCAATGGCTGCCAAGAGAACACATTCCCCAAGGGGGAGGCACGGCGGAGTGGAATTTAGTTCTGCCTCGGAAATCATGAGTTGGATGTCAGACTGGGGTTCCTCTGCATGCTTGTTCCTGCCTTACTTGCATGACTTTTTGCTGGATGCTTGAGGTTGCTCCCCACTTATAAAGTCCTGCTGGCTACATTGATTGCTGTCTTGGTCTCAGGCTGGGGTTAAAAGACCGGAATGTCTGGAGCCCTCACCACTTGCCCACACTGCCATCTTTAGTGTTTGTGCTGGCAGCTAGACCAGGGTGTTGTCTCTCCCTCAGCCTTATGCTTCTGGAATACACGCAAAAAGTGGTTTTCTGATGCCGAGTAGATTTCTGGATAAAATACACCGGATGTGTCGAGCGGAAACGGTGATTTCATAATTTTCTTTAGTTCACAGGATGCAGAACCCTAACCTTCTACTATATGTAAAACTGCTGCACACTGCAGCCCCAGAGATGCAAATTAAATAACCAACTAGTACATTATATCGTACTCCAGTGATATTTCTGAAGGATGTCCATAATCATCTGTGTAATGATATTCTTGGGATGATGATTTGGTGACTGTAAATGGAATAGCGCTAACCTCCAGACCTTGTCCTGGTTAGTGCCTTCTTAAAAGAAAACAACCTTTTGGCTTCTTTAAGAACCAAAAAGTGATACCTTTAGACCCATTTCCAGTTTTTGATTTCTTGCAAAGGTCCACATGTGTTTTTAGAGTTACATTCCTGAACGCCAACAATATTTGTGAGCTTTTTTCTGGGTTTTGCTTCAGTACAGAAACTGCCTTGATTAGAGTAGCTCATGATTAGCTAATCTGAGAATACTGAGAAATCTTATTTTTGGCTCAAAGTTTAGATACACAAAATTAGAAAAGTATGATTTTATCAAATAGACTAAAAGATGATTTGTTCTATTTATTTACTGAAGTGCAAATAGTCCATGCCTATATTTCATCTTTATTGGTTTACTGTAATATCTCTGCACTTCCAAGTTGTGCCTTGCTGTACCAAGTTTTACCTGCTGGGACCTAAGCAGAACAAAAAGGAGATCACTATAATTTCTGTCTTGGCATCTCTGCTTTGTTTTCCATTACGATATAGAATGAATTTTAAAATCCTGTTGCTTACTTTTATAGAATTCAATGCAGTGGCACCAGTGTTCTCGTCAGTGTTGTCTGGCTGTTAGCCTCGGTATGCTGTGGAGGGGGCGATGGATCATGGCCTTCCTGTGTTCCAGGGTTGAGGCTGAGTAGGCAAGGAGAAGTAGTTCAAGTAGGGAGCTGCGTCAGCATGCATAGGCTCCAAAGGAACAAGTAACAGGTTTATTCCATGCTGAAAATTAAAAAAACCCACAATGTTTCTGCTGTGGAGCTTTCTTTGGGTTCAGAAGGCTCCACAGCTGAAATGTTGTGTTTCTTTTCAGCATGCAATAAACCCTTACTTGTTCCTAGGCAAGGAGAATCTTGAGTCTGGGCTCAGTCGTTGTGGAAATCTCTGCTAGATCATGTCGGTTGTTCATCCACAGTGGATTTTTTTAGATTTAGGGTTATACACTCACCTGATTTGGAATTACTCAATTGTGTGTTTTTCACATCTCAGCTCGGGTTTTCAAATCCGGGGCAGAGAGAATGAAGAAGTGCTGACAGACTCCTGGGACATACCCGCCTGCGAGCCACTTCTCTTTTAACATCATGAGCAATGCAGCGCTGTGTCACAGGTTTAGGAGGAGAAGCCTGATCTCAACAATTGCACTGTGTCCCTGCAAACACCCAGGAGGCTGCTGGGAGAGCCCTGGCCAACAAACTGATCCTTTCCTAGCCTCAGGGCCGCTTAGTCAATTGTGTGCTGCCATTGGGCAATTCCAGACACACTTGTAATGTAAGATTGCACCATATACTGTTTTTGCATTTGCGGTGAAAATGCATTACTTCCTTATCATTTCCAGCTGAAAACAAGTCCATCACATTATGAACTAGAGCACTGCACCAGGTTGCAGTAAGGCCATCCTCGCATAAAGTTGAGGGATTTTAAAGTATTGAACTGGTCGGTTGGGCTTTTTTCTCCACTGAAGTGTATGGCTGCCCACCTCCTCTAACCCCTTGAATTACTGTTTTCATATACCTTTAAAATTGTAGGGGATAGCAACAAAATGGCAAGTCCTGCAGTGTCAAGAAGGTATGAGAAAGATACTGATCTTTCATGTTTGCCGAAAAGCACTTTTGCCAATAATACATCTTTGCATTTGAATAAGCCAAATGTGGCAATAATTACGTCTTGCTTTTTTAGGACGTTGGGGGTAGGGACCAGGATGCTGATCATTCTGTTTGATAAGTCTGAGTCAGACACACGTCTCCGATTCAATTGGTTCTTTTTCACTTAAGATACCTTTCATTCCTCGTGCTGATGTTGCAAGCCTTGTATCCGTGGAGACCTGCAAGGGCATCTGTTTAAAGAAGCCATGTTTGGACACTTTTCTCTGGTACTGTAACATTAACTTTAAAACAACTTTCATGACTGGCTAAGCTCTTACGTGTAGCTAAGCATATTTCTACACATGATGAAAAATGAGAAAGTGACTGAATCATAGATCTTTCATGCATCATCCACAGTTTTCAGCGATGAGTTTCAGTCAGTGTTGTAAAGTCTTTGCTTTGCTCTTATATTGTACAGTGTTAGGCTAAGCTTAAAAAATGTGAAGAAGATAATGTTAAGAACAGTCCACATTTAAAAAAAAAAATCAGGGTAGTATCAGTGATTATTTTGTGCAAACTGTAGCCTGTCCATCTTAAGCACATAGCAATCCTTTCTGAAAAGGTAACATTGCTTTAGTGTCTGTCACTGTGAGTAGTTGTTCTCAAGGTCAGTTTGGTATGTGGCTGTGGAGCAGAGTGATGACCATGAAGTATCTCCATGCTGTTGGACACGTGGTGGAATGACTGAACAGTGTTGTTTAAAGTTTGTCATCCTTTGGGGAAAAGCATTCATTCATTAATCCTTGTTGTCTCCTTGACTCAGAAGGACGTCACTAAGGTAAACTTTCAAGTAGTCTGTGGTTGTCTTCAAGTGCTGTCTGGCACCCAGGTCGTCACATTGGAAAATCAGCTTGAAAATCGTTGTTCAACCTGTTTTTTATATTTTCTGCCAATATACTGTTGAATTAGGACCGCATAAATTCTTTCCCAGCCTTCTGATGAAAACAAAAGGAGGAAGCCAGTAAATTCCACTTGAGGAAAATGACCTGTGCCGTCCATATGTGATACAGAGGGCACTTTACTCATTATGGAATCCCAGACCATGTGCTGTGCCCTCAAACTCAGCATAGTTTCCTATTTAATTCACCAAATCTTGTTCTTTCTTCAGTAGCTCCCAAGTAATGACTTTCTGTAACATCCTTAAATTATGAAATAATGGAGTTTAAAAATGCTATATAGAATGTTTTGTGAGTTTATAGTTTACAGCTGTAGTTCTATAAAATGTATTTCTGTCAGATGGTTAAAGAATGTAGGAATGAGGCCATCACCCATTGCTAAGATGGTATAATTGCAGTAATTTAAACAGGGTTTAAGTGACTGTTTTAGTGGCCAGTTTTAATCAGCCTGTGTAAAATCTACTCACAGCATTGCAAACGGGCCATTATTCTTCTGTTGCCATAATTAAGTCTGTTCTGTGATTGCTCAAGCAGAATGAAATAATGAACAAGGTTAATTAGAAGATAGAGCTACAGCTTTTTTTTGCTGTTGGTGGCTCCATTTAATTTCAATAATTTCAAACGCATATTGTCAAGGGTTTAGCTGCCAGCCAGCATCTCAAGTTATTTTTTTTCTTAGTAATACTGTATTCAGCGACTTTTCTTAATGTAGGCCTACAGCATGTGCAGATTATACCTGCAAAAGACCATTAAGTAATCCCATTACTGAATGACTAAATTGGTGACCATGTTTTTGTTCAAATGCTGTGAAATGTGTCTGTTGGATGAGTTCTGAGATTATTGCCTGTAACATAAAATACAGCAGCATATCACATAAAGAGTGACAAAAGAAAAATTAACAACAACTAGAAGAACAATGGTGACTCTGATGGGTCTTATGGTAACTTTTTAGACATTCTCTGACATTCTGATTTGAAGCATTTGTTAGAGTCCATTTACTTTGATAAAAAAAAATTACAGTGACTTAGAATCCCAGGAGTATTGGCTAGTAATACAATTTGCTTTTTAGTACAATTAGGATTTAAAACATACTTTCTGAGTAGCAGTGGAATTTTACATTGTTGCCAGTTTTGAAATGTTTAGCATGAAGGATTCCTACTGAGATCTATAGAGAAAGTGTGCTGCAGCTCTCATTGTACAATGACTGTGATCATAGCATTTTGCGTGATACTACTGAGAGATCCTGGCTGTTTTATGTGGGATAGTTCTCTTGAAAGGCGCTAGAGAAAAATAGCCCTTTCATCTGGCATGTTGAAGACACTCGAGTGGGAAAAACTATCCTGTTGTCAAATGAAGTGCTTGGATTCATCTACTCTAACAAGTTGTAGGCAATTGGGTTAGCTCTTTGATGTGATGATGACTATAAAACTGTATTTGAGGCTGTAATTTCATATAATACATACAGATGCAGCCATTCAAAACAAGCAGGCGATACCGCATTATTTTGCGGTGCGCTTTACGCAGTCTACCGCGAGTTACCGTAAATTCTCCTATAGTACCGCAAGTAAAATAATAGTATCCGGAATTTCCGCAAGGTGGAGCTAATAAAGCTCAACCTCTCATGTTTGAGCTGTCGCCATCAAAGTCTTTAACGAAGATATTACTAATAGTATTAATAATGAATGACCTTGGACAAGCTGTAAACTCAAAGTATTGCCCTGGTCCACATTCTTTTTTTCATTGACCGTCTTTGTAAAAGTAACACCACAGCATTTCGCAATCACGCATTTGTTTCCAATCATGCAAAGTACAGTAATTTTTGAGAATCTCCGATTCACCACGCCTTTCACATGCTCATAAAAGAGATTGATTTAGGAACATAAACATATTACTGTATGCAAACTGTACTGTATACAGTATGTATATGTATATTTAATGTCTTTACTGTGCCCGTTTAAGTATTTAATATTTATATGGAATTTTACCACTGAAGGGAAATCTTAGTAGCTGAGCATAAAAAGAATAGGAGCATACTGTAACACGTGTGAAGGCCATAAACGATATTAATTTTGGAACATAAACATACAGTATATGGCTGGTCTTGGTACTTATCTCATGACGAATGAGAAAAGAGCGTTTAAAGCCTTACTATAATGACTGTACCTGTCTGAAATTGTTGAGATTAGGGGTGCAGGGAGGGTTTGCTAAATCAGGGTCACAATTTCTTCTCATTCTATGTGGGCTCCTGTTCACAAAATTGAACTAATGTGCCAGTTTAATTAATGAAGTTTTGGATAAAAGCCCAAACCCCATCCCAGACCGGTCACCAGCTTATTAGGGTATGAATATGGGACTTCAGACCTTTCTTCCCAAAATTATTTGCTCAGATGTTGTACCAGCACTACAACAGCTTCTTATGTTGCCTGGCGTTACGCTAGAGTTGCATTGAATGTGACAAGAAGAGCAGATGTGATCAGAGATGCCATCACATAAATAGAACCTGGGTTTTTGATCACTGCCTTCCACACTGGACAAAAGATGACAGGAGATGCTGATTTGTTGCTGGGAACCTTTGAAAAAAGTAAAATTGTCTTCTTTTTCTGCAAATTCTTTGTGTAGAAGCTAGGAAGCAGAGTAAATTGATGACTGCTTCAGTGGCCCCCATTATAAAAGGATAATGCTGAAATGTAATTCATGAGTAAACTTCAAAGGAACTGAGTGTGCCTCATATATATATCTAGATTTAGAGTTGTTAACTAATAATGTGAAAGCATAAAATATAAAAGGTATTACCATAGTTGTTGCTTATATTAGAGTGAGTTTTACTTTATATCTCCTACAGACTACTCTCAGTTATTTTGTTCACTGCTTGGAATGACAAAATGCTTTTCCACTTTGTATCGTTCCATATTGTGGCTTTGAAGTGAATAGCACATACTTTTGTGAAATTCTTGTCATAATTAAGTGGATAGCTCTGGGCTTTTTATTATAAGTATGTCACTTAAGAGCACTAAAACATAGGGGCTAAATAGGTGGAGTCAATTTTGCCATTGGAAGCACTTTTTATTGCTTATCCTCCAATGCACAATTTAAAAGAACCCCATAAAAAACACTGCATTCTGTAGACACCTGAAGAGAAAGTACGTTTCTGCAGGACGTTGTAGCTCTGTGCTGTAGTTTCCCATAGCAGAAAAGCTGAGGAGTTGTTCAAGCCAGACTCATGATTGATGTGCTGGGGAGAGTGTGCGCCAGGGTGCAGCTTGCTCTTTGCCATACAGACATCCTGTAATGAGGCTATCTTCCATAAAATCATGGTGTGAATATTTAATCTGTGCTGCTGTCTAACTCTCTGTGGGTAGTGCAGTAAACAACATCTGGGCTGGTTCAGATGCCAACGGGGCAGGTAATTTGTAGTACGCCATATGAATTTCATACAGCATGGCCTGTGCCTGCACACTGAAGTCTCTGTTTGCAAAAGTACAGAGTGACAATATAAGCAGACCTTTCTTCTCTTTACTACCCGGTTTATAAAGTGGAAAATGTAGAGAGCTCAATTTGAATAACCAAGCAGAAGGGAAAGCACTAAAATTAGTGAAGCTGACATGGATTACCTTGTGCTGAGCCAAAAGGAAAATTCAAGCATTTGCTTAGACTGCACAGTTTGACACGGCTTCTTCGCAAAACTTCTGCTGAAGTTTTGTTTTCTTCTGCTGAAGTTTTTTGGTGAAGATGTGTCACTTTCACTGCACACAACTGGAATGTTGAATATTACACGCATTCAGTTGGGTGTTTTGCCATTGCTTGGCAGAGATGAATAAAATTAGTAGTTTCTTCAAAGATTGCATCCACTGCCATTCATTCTCCAGCCTGTCTGCATGTGATGTATAATCTTTATTTTGCAGAGTGGCAGTAGTGTCTAAATCCTTTGAAGGACAAACTGATAAAACAGAAGAATGGTACGGGACACAGTACAAACAGGAAGCCATCTCTGATGAGGTTATAAAGGTGAGCTGCGCGTGGCACTCCAGAAACCCACTCAGATCTGACTTGCTTTCAAGAGGGCCAAGGATCTGTCCAAACACTTCTTTAAGAGACCTGCTGCCAGTTGTTTATTGCTCTGTGATAGTAGACTAGGTAACTGATTCTGGCATAACTTTAATTTCACAGTGCCCATATTAGAGTATATTGTCTCATGTCAAGTGTTAGAAACTTCATGGTGTTTTAGCTACAAATATACTCCTACCACTTCTAAATCCTATGAGCTAAGCCTTCCTTTTTTCAGGGCTGTAAAATAGACTTAAGCTATTGCAGCCACAGTATTGAGGTTATGGAAGCTATTGAATGAAATATGAGGTTGTACAAAAGCAACAGTTTCATTTTTATGATTGAGCCCAGCAAACCTTAAATAGCTCAAATGAATTCTGAAAGAAACTCCTGGACTGGATTTTATCCCCAAAGTTAGCTGACTGAAAGGCTCTTGGATTGCTTGCAAATGGAGTTTCTTCTGTTGATTTCATACTGGTGAGACTAATCCTTCTTCTGAATAAAAATGCTTATCTGTGGATGTTTTAGAAAAGAGACTTCTTTATAAGGTTAAAGTCTCTCTCCATGACACTAATTCTGGTCTTACATAATCCAAGCACGGGTACAGATTACCGGCAAGCGTTTTGTCAGTTGTTCCGCTTTGTGTATTTCAGAAATGGCAAAATGCAGACTTGAATGGAAAGTTCAAACTCCCCATGAAAAATGAGTTTATACCTACAAATTTTGAAATCTATCCCCTGGAAAAAGATGCTCCATCATATCCCACACTGATAAAGGTACTTATTGAATGTTTTATCAATGTTTTATGTTAGAGATAAAAAAATAGTGTGTAAATAACCAGATACAACTACTAATTAATGTAATTCTGCAAAATAATTATTTTAAAAATAGTTCTCATATAGAAATATTTGAAAGCATGTAAGATCATATTTAGTGCAGAATGACTAAGAGAATGTTGTTTTAAATAATTTATCATTCTCATTTTGACATCTGAGTAGGAATAAGCCCATGAAAGAGAACAGCATACTGTATTTCATTTTATTACATTTACTACACTTTTCACTGAAAAAACGTTTCTTACAGGATACTGCCATGAGTAAAGTGTGGTTCAAACAGGACGACAAATTTTTCCTTCCAAAAGCCTGCCTCAACTTTGAGTTTTTCAGGTAGGAACCAATACTGACTTGAACAACTGTTTAAAACATTGTTTGAAACTTGTAATTGAGGTTTCTGTGCTGTTTAATTTATATCAAAGCCAACATACAGTTTGGGAAAGGAATTTGTATGCATCTCTCAAGTTCTTTCTGAGACGATAGATCTGAAATAATAACATTAAGAAATAGGATTTGAAGAAAGTGCAGTTCAGCTGCCAGAAGATTCTCTTTTTTCATAAGCAAGAATTTGTCTGTGCTTAATTTAAAGCAAGTGTGAAATTGCCTTTAGACACGGACATTTATGGAAAATAATTGAAAGAAAAGATCGTTGCATTGACATTTTTAAAAAATATTTTTTATGCTTCTGAGAAGCTCTGAGTTACAAATCGTATTTTGATGCATTAAGGCATCAAAAGCCCAGAGCTATTTCATTTTGAAGTGGCATTTTGTTCAGTGCTTTCTCAATCTTGCAGTTTAAACCCTGGGAGACCTCAGATTGCTGGATCAATATTTATAAATAGAAGCAATTGAAGACTGCTGCTGCTGTGTCTTTCTAAAAGCAGTCAAAATACAAAATAACCCAGATTTTTACCTATTTAATACCAACCATGGGCATCTCCAGTGTTCTGTGCTCATTAAACAAAGTTCATTTTCAAAACCAGAGAAACACGTAATCGCATTAAAAGTTTGACCTGTAACATAATTTGTCCCTGTTAATGCATATATTCTACAACTACATTTTGTTTTTTGTTTTTTAAGCAGTAATATCTTCCCTTTTTCGAGCTCATGGCTTGATGGAAATTGTAAAAAATACTCATTTTGTTTTTAATGGTTCTTGTTACCCCTTGTCCTGGTTTAAATGTTTGTAGTTTGTTTAGGTAATAGTATTATATGTAAAACTCCATTGATTATGTTTTGTCAGAGTGTATTGATATATTTACATTTCAATGGACATGCAGTGTATGATTTTTTAATTTTTCGTGACTTGTGGTTCAGCACCCTTGGGGTATTTATATCCCAAGGGAAAGTATGAGACTTTACTTGTGGCATTCTCTTTTCAGCCCATTTGCTTATGTGGATCCATTGCATTGTAATATGGCCTATTTGTACCTTGAGCTGCTCAAGGACTCTCTCAACGAGTATGCATATGCAGCTGAGTTAGCCGGCTTGAACTATGACCTGCAAAATACCATCTATGGGATGTATGTAAGTACCCAAATTCAAACAAGCACCATAAACTAAGCATTCTCAACTGGTCTTTTCCTCATTAGGCTTTCTCCCTCAACCTCAACTGAAGAAGTAGTCGGTGGTGTCTCTTTTCCATTGTGGTTAAAGTGCCTATTAAATCATGTCCAGGTTTAGTCCCAGAGATGGCAAGTTGTGCTTCCCAGCGGGAGTGGGAAAGGGGTTATGGGATTATTCATGGCATCACTCCAAAGAGTTGCCGGGAGAGGTCAGATGGAGGTTTTCCAAGGTTGCGAGATCTGCGGATCCTCCTCTGCCTTGATTCTCCTTTCCCTACAGGGCGACCGCCCAGTGAGGCAGAGATCGAACTGGACACTTCAGCCTGGGGTGAAAAACGAGTTGAAATGGCTTTAAGAGGATTTGTGCTACATAAGTCATACAAGCTTTGAGTGTTCCGAACAAAGAAAATATACATGTAATGTGTTGCAGTTAGTCTGTAAACTGATGACGAATCCAAGTTCATTGCATAGAAATTGCAGTTTAGCCCAGAACAATGGAAAATGGAGACCTCACTACTTCTTTTGTAGACTTTTTTCCCAGATCATTTTTTCCCCTCCATTGCGTCAAAAGCTGGTCATTAGGCTGCATATACATACTCTTCTGTCAGCCTCCTCATCCCACCATGTCCATGTTGGAGGTGTCAAACAAATCTCTCTCTCTTGTTTTCTTTTTGTTAGTCGCTACCTTTACGCAGACCCTGTCCATTGCAACATGACTTACCTGTTTCTCAGGTTATTGAAGGATGATTTAAAAGAGTATACATATGCAGCTCGCCTCTCAGGTTTGGTCTATGCCGTAGCGTCAGGAATGAATGCACTCCTTGTAAGTAGAAGTGGAGAGGGAAGGAGTTTGAGACATGAGTGTTAAGGATGCTCTTGCTGTCTGCCGTACTGTGTAGGGCTCCTGTCTTTATGCCCTTGGAAATTCTTTTGTTTGATGTTTTACAGATTATGGTCATGAAACAGGGCACTGGGGTGGATAAGCGCTATTTAATTAGGCCTGGGATGAATATAATTTGTTTTTAAATGGGAAGTCAGATTAAACCTCATCACCTTGGAGTATTGATAAATTGATGCTTATCAAAATCTTCCTGGATGGTGTTGAGTAAAGCAGCTATATGACCTTGTCAGTCTGGAGGCTGGTGCCAATATAAAAGTTATTTTCTAATATAGAAGGAACTTTTGTTTTGTACTACAGTCTCCAGCAGTGGCACTGAGGGGGGAAGCATATCTGTAAAACAACAAATGAAGGATTATTGGCTCATGCCCTGTCTTTGACGTCACTACTTGCTGCTTTGGGAACATGTTAAAAATTGAAAAGGCTAGCGTTTTGTCCGTGGTTTGAGGTGCTCTCTTTATCTTCTTTAACTTTTGTTCCTTACCCTTTTTGTTCACACTTTAATTGCTAAAATCTTACTTGAAGTTTCATGAAGAATACAGATCATAAGATATGTATAACTCCACACAGCAATATTAGCTGAGAAAACTAATGGCCTTGTTCTTCTAGCCTTTTAGATTTATCAGCTAAAATTAGCTATATGTTTCTTTGAAGTAAAATGCTTGTATTTACAGATTGTTAAAATAAAACATTTTTAGAAAACCTGAAAACCTGTTTTGAAGAAGAAAGAGGACATTTTAGTGTGTATACAGGCTAAAGGAAAAATTAGACATCTTTTTTTTTTGTTGCCAAACACTCTTCAGTGAAGCCCTAGGTTCTGCATGTTTCATCCTGTGAACTGTAGTGAGTTGTTAAGTATTTTCATTGTACTAATCTGACTTGACATCTTGTTTACCTCTCAGCTTGTTGTGTGCAGTGTAATCAGATTTCTGGGTGTGTCAGTGTAACTCACAGGGGCAGCCAGGGGGCAGTGTATGTGCGACTGCTGCTGTTACTTTACTGTGTGAAGGGAAACGCGGGAATGTTAAAATAGATAAGGTGACCATATATTTAAAAGACTGCCTCACTATTTTATATTCAATGAAAATTGTTATCATTGGTAGTAGTAATAGTAGTAGTATGTGCAGACCCTACCAGATGAAAAATGAATTGATACCATGAAAAGAGCTATGCACCTAAATTAAAGAACATGAGAGGTTTTGTGAGTGAGTAGTTTGAAAGAAGAAAAGAGCACGGCACTCGGTCACTGGGTTCCTAAAGGTTTAATTTTCAAGGTGACTGTTTGCCTTAGCCAGTTACCTCAAGTTGTGCGGGCCCAGTGTTTAGGCCGAATTAGACAGTGTGGTGAAATAGGAGAGCCTGTCATCTGCTTGCACAGCTTGGGCACGGCGAGGAAAAAAAGAAAGAGGCAAACAAACTCGTCTCTCCTCCTGTGCTGTAGGACGCAAGATCGTGATGAATGGCGAATCTTTTCTCTAAGGCCAGTCCCACTGCATTGTAATTGCTGTGTACTCTGACAGTTTGCAGTGCCCTGGTTCAGCTGTCTCTTTGGTGTTGTGCTTGGTTTTTCATGGCGCAATTATTGGTGAGCGGTTGAGCTTTATTGTTGAAAGTCTGCCGCTTGATTATGCATATAAATCAATCTGAATGCCTTTTGCGACTGGTACAGTCATCGTATGCTGCCGCGTGAGCAATTTATTCTCTGATAGCAGTAGATAGCAGAAATCAGCCTGCTCAGAGCCCGCTGCAGCTTTCTGTAATCCCGGCCTCCCAGCCCCCTTCTCTGAAAGCTCAAGCTCAGCACTTGTGCAGTCCTGTGCAGCTGGATTGCCACCCCAGTGCGCCACATGTGTTCTCATCACCTCCCTCTCCCCCCGCAACACAGCTGTCCGTGAAGGGCTACAACGACAAGCAGCACATCTTGCTGAAGAAGATCATTGAGAAAATGGCCACCTTCGAGATCGATGAGAAACGGTTTGACATCATCAAAGAAGCAGTAAGCTCGTCTGCTGTTGCGTTTATACATAACCTTCCAGCTCATGCGCAAAGTGCTTCTCTGTTCAGTTTGAAACTGCTCGTTCCGCCATCCCAGAGGGGAAGTGCTTGGCATTCCAAGTTTACCATTGGGCACAGTACATCCAGCTTCTGTTGTTGCAAGAAAGGGCATCAGATGGCCAATTGGTAAATACATAACTATATAAATATATGGATTTATTTGCAGGCCAAAGCATTAAATACTTAAAAGTGTGGATTAGAAGAACGAGATAATGCTGGCAGAGATTTTCAAAGTAAAACTTCAGATGTTTTCACATGCCTTTACACTTAAAAGTCTACTTTTTATAGGTGTTGATTTATGATGTACTGAAATTGTGTTTTGCTTCTTTCCTTCTCCAAGTACATGCGGTCGCTGAACAATTTCCGTGCTGAGCAGCCTCACCAGCATGCCATGTACTACCTGCGGCTGTTAATGACTGAGGTGGCCTGGACCAAAGATGAACTGAAGGAGGCACTAGATGGTAAAATACACTTTTCCCCACCCTTCGGAGTTATTGCTGACGGGGGGAGGCAGTGGAATGCTGGAAATTATTTCAAGAAAGCGGGGCTGTCTGGTGATCCCAGTTAGTGCCACTGAAAAATTCCAGTCTCTCTGAGCGGCTTCAGAAGATTGGCAGAGGTATCCCTACGTGTTTGGATTTTCCGAATTTGCTCACTGTGACTTACTGTTGAATATTTCTTAGCACTATGTTAATTACAGATGCTGAGACTCATTGCGATGCGAGTTGCGTTATGCAGTCAAAATGCAATTTCCTACAAGATTCCTGAACGGGTGGTTCTTTAAATTTTATGTGATGACGCACATATCTTACCCAGCTATCGAACTGAACACGGAAAACTTGAATTTGCTGTTATATGAGAACAATCGAGTGATCCAGTATTGCCATAGGAAGAAATGGCTTGGTTCTCCTAGCTGTCGCCCACCTCACTTTGTACCCTAGACCCCTCTCTCTGCACTGTTGGACTAATGTCTTTGACACTCAGTCATCTGACAATGCCCAAGTGTTTTTTTTTCCTGCAGTTCTCCTGAGAGCCAGTTTGTTTAGTTGCAGTTCTTCCGTCAGGCTTAACACTTCCTTCTGAATCTGGGTCAGACGCTGTGTGAATTCAAAGCAATGCAGTCGGTGCAGTGCCACAGCCCCATTGCCGTGTGTGTTGCAATGATAGAAGTGTCTCTGAGAAACGCCCCTGATAAAAGCTAATAAAACTTAAGAAGGGAAGGAGGGTTTTGATTTGAATTGTTTTTTTTAGAGATATGTTTTTTTTTGCGGTGTGGTGCTGACAGTAAAGTGTCCATAGCTGTGAAAAGCACTGTATGATTGATTCTGCTGTCTAAATATCTGTTGCAGATGTCACTCTCCCTCGCCTCAAGGCCTTTATACCTCAGCTGTTGTCACGGTTACACATTGAAGCGCTTCTCCATGGAAATATAACAAAACAGGTTGGTTAACTGTCTCTCCTTGAAGACGAGGAAGCTCGATGGAGTCTGTGCCTCTGTGTGTGTGTTATTGGTCACGCAGACTCTCACAGAGTCCGCAAGGATGAGATATATTTTTATTCTCTCTTTCAATTCAGCAACAAGGACTTTACGCATCAGAGAGTCCTTTTATCATTCATGTGGGAATGTCGCATAGGGTATAAACACAGGAGTCCGGATAAGATCTCTGGTGATCAGATCACTGTTTATGTAAGATCACAGCTGTCTTAAATGACCCCGGTTATCCTTGCTAATGAAGTGAATGTCACAGTCGGATTAAAAACCCTTTCTATAACTATTTCACTGTCACAGGGATATAGATGTGTACTGAAATTAGACAATGAGTGTACTTTAAGAAAAAAGTACAATATTTCTGACATTATTTGACACGCATTGCCTAAAGTTCTCGATTGTAGTTCCAAACTAACATTTCCTTCTTTTTAATTGTTTTGCACAGGGTGAGATGAGGAAATAGGAAAATAACACACATGGAAGCAGTTTTCAGTTCTGGTCTCAAACACTATAAACAGTACTTACAGGCAGCTGATAGGGGAAACCTAGGATTTCAATATGTAATGATATATATGTATAGGAATACAAGAATAATTTTTCTTAAATGTGTAAAAGACCTGCATTGAAAAACCTGAAAAGAAACCCTAGGTTTGTGGAGGTGGGGAGTTATTGTGGTTCATGGCGGGGAAGTGTGTCACTGTTCTGTAATCAGATGCAGAGTCTGTAACAGGAGATGTTACAGCCATCAAGAATGCAGAAGTATGTTTGTTATAGCTATTTAATAAAACAATATGAAATGCAGTTATGCCGAATGATGTCACTGTTGTTTGCCGGAGAGATGGCAAATTACCGGGCACCTGTGGGACCCATGCAGGTGTTTAGAAAAAAGTTTAAATTAAAAGTTTCCCTGATTGATTTTTTTTCTCCTACACCCCTGTTAATATCTGGGAGCATATGTGGAGTATTAAATAAAGGTATTTTCAAAAGGTAGGTACACTGAGCAAAACACACTTAAGTCTTCACATCCTGAAAGCGATGTAGAGAGATGTAGAACATATTTATTGCAAGCATATGCTCCATCTGATAGTTCTACATTACATATTTGGCAAGGAAACCTCACTGCGCTTCTGTGCTGCAGTTTCTGCTGTGTCAGAACAGATAGAAGGGCAGTTGAAAGTTATGGAAGCAGCAATGTCCTCTGATGTGTTAACTACAAACTGCTTTCCTTTCAGTCTGCCTTAGGCATGATGCAGATGGTTGAGGATACTCTTATTGAACACGCTCACACCAAGCCTCTCCTGCCCAGCCAACTTATTCGTTACAGAGAGGTTCAGGTTCCGGACAGTAAGTGGCGCCTTTCCATACCCTCAGCTCTCCCTCATTCTCACAGTGCACCCCTGTGTCCAGGTCCGTGTGCCACATATTCAAAACCGCTCGTCGGTCACATCGTCACAGCCGTGTAGTTCATCACAAATTCCAGCACAGTAGTCATTAGAATAAAAAAAAGCATGCCTGCTTTACAACTATGTGTACAGTCTAGTGGAGGCAGTTTAATTGCAGTTTGTTATTTTTTTGGTCTTTTCCTCATATGAGAATGATGTAAGAACCCACTTTGAACTGGGATTTTTTTCAATAATTTCTGCTGTCTAGGTACATTCTGAAGATTAAGCATTCTGATTATCCAGCACTGAAACTTACTGGCGTACCTCATTAAAGATTAACGACATGGACATTTCTGCACATTTGAGATTGCTTTCCAGCTGTAATTCAGGGAAACAAATCAAGAATGTGAGCAACTGCTATCGATTTGTACTGGATTTCGGGTTACTATGGATGCATGTGCTGTATATACTTAGATTTGCAATTGGATCATTTTTTTCTCTGGACACCGCTTCCTGATACGCTGCCTATTGAGAGCCGTTGCATAAGGCTTGGTCCTGTAGTGTTTTCCGCTCTACCATATCAAGTCTAGAGTCTTTACTGTTTAAACATTGTCATTATCATCTTCAGTTTCTGCCTCCATATAGACCTCCATATAAACTTTGTATGACAGTGCTCCAAGAACCAATTATAAGTCTATGTTCTCTATGTGGAGTAATTAGATCACATTTTTTACATTGACTTAATCTTTTTATGGCTTCATTCAGACTGCCTTCTTCTTTTGTTCTAGTTTACCATTTGTCTTCCAGTATCACACTTTCAATGTACCTTAAGTTATGCTTTAAATTATCTGCTGATGAAGGAGAGTCTTTCATTTATTCATTTTTGGGGGCTGCTTTTAGGAGGATGGTATGTGTATCAGCAGAGGAATGAAGTACACAACAACTGTGGCATTGAGATCTACTACCAGACAGACATGCAGAACACCCAAGAGAACATGCTGCTGGAGCTCTTCTGCCAGATCATCTCTGAGCCCTGCTTCAACACCCTGCGTACCAAGGAGCAGCTGGGTGAGCCTCTGCCACATTGCAGACTCTGCAATACTCTTTATCCAGGTTTCTTTCAAATCATGACATTGCATTGACTGTAGGTTGCAGAATCAAATTAGCCTAAGTTGCTGGGTGTGAGCTAACCTGGCACTTGTAAACCCAAAACCCCAGTGTCTGTCATGTTTCGCAGGCAGCAGAGTGATGTCTGTCTTCTGGCTCTGAAGTTGCCGTTCTGTCACTGGGCCAAAATAAGAGCACCACATCTTGCCAGTACTCAATAGGTACTTCTGTAAATTCCCAGGCTACATCGTATTCAGTGGGCCCCGAAGAGCCAACGGTGTCCAGGGGCTGCGCTTCATTATCCAGTCAGAAAAGGCGCCCCACTACCTGGAGAGCCGTGTGGAGGCCTTCCTGAGGACCATGGAGAAGAGTCTGGAGGAGATGAGCGAGGAGGCATTCCAGAAACACATCCAGGCCCTGGCCATCCGCCGGCTCGACAAGCCCAAGAAACTGGCAGCTGAGTGTGCCAAGTACTGGGGAGAGATCATTTCACAACAGTACAACTTTGACAGAGGTGAGGCGCCAATACTGCTCGTGTGGCAATCTGTGCCAGACAGAATTCACCTGTTTTTCAAACCACTAGTACTTCAGTATGAGTTGCAGAACCTTTGTTCTGCTCTGTCCAGAGCAGGAGACTAGTGAGCTGTCTCCTCCCTCTCCTCCCTAGATCATAATAGTATTCTGTATTCTTTTCTTTCACTTTCTTCCACAACTCTGTGAGAATGTAAGTGGTATTTTCTTTTTTCCTCCTTGAAATGCAGTTTTCCAAAAGAGATCTTCATGTTGCACAAAGGATAACTGATTCATAAGCTACTTTGTTAGTAGAGTATTGTCAGTTCTTCTAGAGGTGCTTTTTAAATTGGCCCACAGGAATTGAAATAACAAATCTTGCAGTGTTTGTTCCCTGTTTTTATTTGTTAAGTGTTGCCTGTATAGTTAACATTAAAGATATGAATGATTCTGTAGGGAAGGGAGCAGCTTACTTATCCCAGAATTGATATAGAAAGTATACTGGTTAAACATGTGAGATTGACGTATATTTACACTGCAAAAACCTAATAGAAAGGTCAGACAGTACAGCTCTACTTCTTAAGTTTTTTCCAAAGTGGAGTGGAATGCAGTAAAAATTCTACAATTAGGAATGGATAAATTGAGGGAAAGGCCAGCTTTTATGTAATTAGCCTCCATTGTAACAGTGCTAATAAATGAAGCTTCTGTTTGAAAGCAGCATACTGGATGCAGTTTTTCAAATCATTGGAGACTATTATTCTTTTTGCCCTGCTGGATCTTTCAGGGTAGAAAGCAAAAAAAAATTTAAAAGAAACAGCAGAAATGAACAATACTTTAATCACTAAAGATACTAAGCTTTAACTAGTCACGACGTGGAAGATTTCAGTGTTTTCCAGTTTTGTCTCTTTATTTTTAAGGCATGGTGAGTCATTGTTGGAAGTCTGTTTAAAACTGTACTGAAAGCTTGTTAATGCTCAGCTGACACAGTGAGTGTTATCTTTTTGTCTAGGGCATATGGAAGGAAATCTGATTTAGGGTAATGTATAAGTGTAACATACACAGAAAGACTCTGCACATTTCACATTTGTGTGAGTGTGTTGTCTGGGGCTAAAAGTATTTGTAGTCACTGGTGATGTATGTTATCGAAACAAAACAGTAACTCGTACAATTAAGTAGTCATTGGTACACTACTCAAGTTGTAGAAAGTATTAGGAATTTTGTTTATACCTTAAATCAGTTGATAAATGTTTACTTTAATTGGATAAATGTAATATTGTTGATCTATGTCTGAAGAGCTTCAACAATTAGTTACATGTTTTAGGGTTGTAAATTGAAAGTTATATCTTTGCTCCCTGAAAAGCTATGGATGTACACATAGAAAAGAAAAAAAAATCGAATTTACCTAAAGCTGTTTAGTATGTTTTTATTTGGCTTTATAACATGTTACACAAAGAACCCAATATAATTTCCTGACCTTAATGTATCATTTGATTTCAATGTCTCAAACAAGAAGCAATACACATACTTACATACAGTATGTATAAACAATAAATCAGGTCTTGATTTTATAAGAGAAATAAATGTTACCGTATTTAAAGTTTTGTTACAAATCATGGATTCATATTTAGCAGTAAATTCTATGAATACAGTATAATCAATAAAGCATAATCCCATTATTGCACCTATTTTCTGGAAAAATGTATTTGCATATGTTTTCAAGAGCATAGTAGTACTGTGTTTGACTATGTTACTTTGATGACTCATGCATTACCTTGGTAACATTTAATATATACCATTAAGGAAAGAAAAAAATAGTGTTTGACTTTTGTGTCAGGTTAGTTTTACTTAATTCTTTTGGTGTTTTTTTAATTGTCTTCAAGACTGCTACTTTTTACAGTTCTGACCTCTTTGCTTGTCTTCAACATTTTTGCAGTTACAGAACAAGGCTTTTTAAATCTGCATCATTTTCACAGCCCTGTTTCCATGTGCTGGGGAAGGTTGTTTCACAGTGCTACATAATAAAGATGATGCCAGTCTTCACCCATCCCAGAGAGTTCATGAATCGCTGATTCGATGAATCTGTCCTTCAAGTCATGTTCCTACAAACAGGCTAGAAGTCAATGTTGTGAACTAACCCTACATTCTGCATAATTTGTTGTTCAACACTAGTGATGAATCTCCCAGTTATGGAATGTAACCAAATTTTTTTAAATTAAAATTTTAAAATTAAAAACAATTCGTCATAAAAGGTGAGTGACGAGCAACGTCAAAACCACAGATACGGTATGTGCTACCAGCAGTGGGACTTCAAGAGCAGCTAAGTTTATCCACTTATTGTGCTGCAGTGACTACTTCTACATAACCTTTAGAAACTGAGGAATGGCTGCTAATCTTGCTAGCATGTTGTGTAGTAAATTGAATAAAGTTATGTAGTAAAGTGAATAATCCAGAAAGATTATATTCTTGTAACATATATATATATAACATCACATGCAGAACATGCAAAGGCTGTTCTTATTGACAAACCCAGTGCAGAACATTTCTTCAGATGTCAGACTTGTTCAGTTTGAAATAATTCACAATTTCTTCTACAGAGACAGGTGTGGAGCAGGTTGGATTGATCACCTTGGAAGAGAAATGAAAAATGTAACAAAATGGGTCTGTTTATTTGTATGTTTAGCATACGTTTGGCTGAGAAAGTACAATACTTTTTTCCAGAATTTGCTCTGTTATATATGCAGTGGATACCTGTCTCTCTTCAGCAGAATGGCAGCAGTTTTATTTATTTTTTCTCCTTTTCAAGATGTTTTCTTTTTGTTTCAGATAACATTGAAGTTGCATATCTGAAGACACTGACAAAAGAAAACATAATGCAGTTTTACAGGGTGAGTGGTGTGGCTGTTGTACCTTTGTGTTTTTTTAAGGTAGTGTGACAGTAAGTCTTTTGTCCTTTAAAAAATAAGCAGTAAGGCAGTAAAAAGATCTGTTCAAGACTTTTGAAAAGATCAGTTCCAAAATGTGTTGTATTAAAGCCTTTGAATGTCAGATGCTGTAAGAGGTTTGGGAACGTGACTATTATCTTGTATGAAGTCCCTCGCAGTATAATGATTGCACAATGGACCCAATACTTCTTCTTGTTCAGCATAATGAAACCCCCACTGTTCTTGACAATTTCAGGGGAATTGAAACAAAATGAAAAGCACCCCCTGAGACGTATGTGAATGCATAGCTGTCTGGGAGTGAAAAAAATAAAGATCTTAACCTTTTGGTCCTTTAGCAAATTGATGTCTGGGTTTTGTGTGAAATATTGTACTTACAGGTGTGTATCCCTTGTGTCTGCATGGAGGATTCACATCTGTTTCAGGGATGGATCAGTTCCCTTTATGTCTGTGTGCATCAAGCTGGAGCTGGCTAAAATCAATCTGTGATATAGTCCCCTAAACCCCAGAGGTGTTAAAAGGCAGTTAATAAAAGTTGTACACCATCTTTTTATGTAGGCCTGCAGCCCATTTACCAGCTGTGACAGGGAAGTTCAGTATCTCTTGCCATGAAAGCGCTGTGGAGGTCATCAATTCTATGACTAATCTCTGAGAGTGACAAGCTTAATGTTTTAAGCAAGGAAGCCTCAGAAATCTGCATTGCCCATTTCTTTCTCTTCCCTAAAATATTACACCTTTTTCATCTCCTAGGGTATATTTATATATAGTAGTAGAGGTTGTGCTAGCACTAAGAAGTTTCCTAGCAACATACGGTGAATGTTGACGTAGTTAGAGGATTATTTATTAAAATGCTAGCCTGTATCTTGTACCACTATGTGAATATCAAGGAAAGAAAAGAAACAGCTAGGACACGGTATGCAGTGCTGTGGAACCGCAAGAGGCAGGTGATAGGAATCATGCTGTGACCTGCTGATGTGCTTCTGTCGCATTAGTATTGTTCAGGAATAAAGTCTCTGCATGGTTCTGAGGCACAAGGTAAAAGGCTCCTCAAATAAAGCCTGATTCCCTGCCTCTCAGCGCTGCATGAAAGTTATTATCCCTTTTGTATCTACATGGATGATGCAACTTTTATTGGGGGACTCATTGTCTAGAGAACTCTTCTGTTTATCTCCTGAAACATAAGCCCTTTTAAATAAACCTGGATAACGCCCTTTAAATATCCCTTTAAATAAACCTAGAATATGCCCTTTAGCTGTGATGCCTTTTCTGAGAAAATAACAAAAACCTCCTATTTATTGGCTTTTATCCCTTTAGAAACATGAGAATCTAACTATACTCTCATTTATTCCTTATTAGTTAATAACATGATTGTGTGCCTTATTCCATATTAATCACTGCTGTTAGCATCTGTAAGCAGATGATGTACACAACTACAGCTGTCACAGCTTAGCATCATTGAAACATCATTGAATAAGGTACAGTAGGTGCTCCTAGGGTTTCAGTGGTCATTTGAACCTGCATTTTCTCTGTAATCAGTATTTTATGATTATCTTGAACAAATCCATATTCCTGAAAATGAGTGAACATCTAATTTTGCTTTCTTGGACAACTGCCATTTTGTCCAAATTGTTTGACTTTACACTGAAGTGTCAAACATATTATCAGCAGCACAGATTGCTATCTTTCCTGTGAAAGCAATAGGCTAGCCCCACTAAACATAACCCAGTACATACACCAAGTGAATCCCTTTTTTTCTACACTTAAGTGCACATTAGAACGATTGCAGAAAAGAGGCCATTTGGCCCACCTGACCCAACGAATAGAGAGTTTGTTGATCCGAGTAGCTGGTCCAGCTGTCACAAGAAGGAAGCAAGGATTCGGGCTTGTAAGGCTGTGCAGGACATTGTTCTGCACACCCAAAACCCTTTGTGTAAAGAACTGCATATTGTTCTCGGTTTTAAATGTACTTTCTCACAATTTCCAATAGTGCCTGACTCCTGTTTCACTGTTCATTCTGAAAGTATCCTCTGGGTTGACCTTGTCACCTTGCCTTTAAGAATTTTGAAAATTTGTAACTTGTGTCTTCTCTGTTCAAGACTTTAAAGATTCAGTTCCTTTAGCCTGCCAGCGTAGGACATTCCCTTGTCCCAGGATCGATCTGATTAGACTTCTCTGGACTGATTCCAAAGAAGCAATACATTTTCTATAGAGTGGTGACAAAAATGTACACAGTATTTTAAATGAGGTAGTGGATTATACACGTTTAACATGTCTGCCTTACGTTTGAATTATACACTTTCTCGCCCGTTATCCTTGAATGGCCTCTGAGTATGCTGATCATTCTCGTGCATTCTGCTGATGTGAGGGCTGTTTATTTTTGGAAAGTCTTGAGCTGTACCTTGTGCGGTCTAAAAACCATTACAGAGCAAGATCAGACTGATGTGACAGTTTTAGGCTGGTGACATTTAAAATGTAAGTAGCATTGTGCTTGTGCCAAATGAGCTTTTGATGTAAACATCGCCACCACATTGTGCATCAGTGAACATGACTGTAACCTCACCCTACAGTATGTTTGACACCGACAGGATTCCTTCAGTTGTCACGCCCTGATGCAATCAAGTCATCTTTTCCTTATCCTCTGTCTCCTTATTTACAGGACCTGCTTTCAGTGGATGCTCCCAAAAGACACAAGGTGTCTGTGCACGTGCTGTCGAGGGAAATGGATTCTTGTGAGTACTGCAGACTGGGAGGTAGAACTGGGGTTGATTTATAGAGCGTAATTAGTGCGTTAGAAGTGTGGAAATTCCAAGTAATCCATTGTGCTGTGACTCCTGAGCAGCAAGCAAATAGTGTTGGTCTGTCTCTCCTATTGGCCTGCTCTCTGCACACACTGGAGTAGAAAGGATGCTGTGCTCTTGATGCTGGATTAGAAAAGGGTTTTTCGATTGAATTTTTCCCCTCATGAGAAGGAATTTACAAGCTCAGCAGTTACCCTCCATGTCCCACTGACAAAAATGCTTTAATCCTGCTGTGAGGAGCACTTCTCCTACCTGCGAAAGTGTTTGTATAGACACTGTTCTCTCCAGGCTGCTGCAGGTCCAATCACTATAGCCAGTGCTTCAGTTTTTTTACTTTTAAAATTAGCTTAAATTGTAAGAATAGCTCTTCCTCCGCCCAAACACTCCAAACAAATCGGTACTGAATCTCCTCCAGTTATGGTAAACACTTCAAGCTGAGAATTTTCAGTTTTTTTTAAAGCATTTAATTATTCCACCTGTATATTAAGCACAGTGCTGCGGGCGAGTTTTAGAGGACACATTTAACAGTACGGAGCCTTATGTGGTTTCATAGCTTGTAGGAAACTGCAAACTAAATTTGAGTGAACTAATGAAATTCCTTTTAATGCAACTGTTGTTGAGCTTTAGAATATACAAAAAGATTAAAAACGTTCAATTTACTGCATAAACTCGCCTTCCAAACTTCAGCCCTGGTTCACTGAGGCCACAGGGCTTTTTTAAATCCCAGCACACCAACTAAAGTGGAACGCTTTGACTAACAAGAGAATTACAACACCGAGGATGAATCTAGTTTTCAAGCTGTCATTAATCCTTATGGCTCTGAATTCTTTTTTTTGCATGCATGCGCAATTGAAGACCAAGCTGCCTAGTCGATACTTATTTCTGATTTTAAGGGCTATTAGATCACTTTTTACTGTTCTGAAATGAGATGTGAAATAAGCCGCGTATTAAAATTCCTTTCCTCAGTAACATGGAGTTAGAATCACAAATTGCTGCTCCAGTTCATCAGTTTAGCACAAGCTGCCCTCAGTCATGCAGTTTCCTCTTCAGTTTGGGGTGCTTTTTTTGAGCAATTTGTTGTGGTACCACAAACTAGGCTGTGATCAGCAGCATTCTTTAATTATTGCCGATGACTTGACACATTCTTGGTTTCCTAGGCCCGGTGGTTGGTGAATTTCCGTGCCAAAATGATGTCAATCTGGCTCCAGCGCCTTCCCTGCCACAGGTACAAGGAAAAGTCCTCTTATTTCAGAAGCAGACCTGGCCCCAGAGCAGTACCAGAACTGGGACAGGGGCTCTTCTGGTTTGGTTTAGTTGAAAGGACATTAAGTCAAAGTGAATTGGTTATGTTTTGCACTCTTCATACAAGTATTTAATCTTTGCTTCAGTGATTTTTAACAAAAGTTTCAAAGGAAAGTCTGAATGTTATCTTCTGAAGGACAACTAGTTTGAATTGTACTGCTTGACCCTACAACTTTAATATGTGCTGCAGAATTATATGCAGCATTTGTGTCTCTTGTCCTTTTAAAAAGAATCAAAGTTTTGTCCAAAGATAAAGTAATAAGTAATAAAGATCTGTTGACTAGCCTTGAGACAATCGGGGCAGCAGTGTGGAGCAGTAATCAGAGCTCTGGACTTGTTACTAGAAGGTTGCGGGTTCAAATCCCAGGAAAGACATTGCTGTTGAACCCTTGAGCAGGATACTCACCTGTTTAGGTAAAATACCCAGCTGTATCTGTGAGTGCAAATGTACGATGAAGAGGATATAATTTCAGATTAAAGAAAGCGAGATTGCTGGATTCGGGTTAGGGAAGTGGATTAAATATTGCCCCCAGGCACCAGGCACCTCCTCTGATCTCTGATCCTCTCATCGCCTTTCTTGTCTCCAGCCTATCCTGGTGCAGGACATGACGGAGTTCAAGCGCAGCCTGCCCTTGTTTCCTCTGGCCAAACCGCACATCAACTTCATGGCAGCGAAACTGTGAGTGGAGCCCACCTGCTGGCTGGAGTCCAGGCCTGTGACATGGGAGCTAGAATAATGAATAATCTGTCTTTCAGTGTGTGTGGGTGGGGTACTCTATATATGTGTGTGATTTACAGCTAGCCGTGTTCATTATCATAGCTCTTTGAAAAATTGCAAATCATCCCTTTTTTTAAAGTATTCTTTAAGTAGGATGTTATACAATTTTTACAAAACGGAAAGCCTGGAAAAAGATTGATCACATAAATCCTAGATGAGAAATTTTTGGAGTGTTAAACACCTGTGATATGAAAAGCTGCTTAGGTGAAAAATATTAATTGATTTTCAGTGAAGGTATTGTGAGCTTTGGAGGTATGGCCAGAGTTAGTGCGTTATTTTTTTCAGAGAAGTGCAGAGTCCTGATTTTTTTTTCTTTCATATGAATAACGCAAAAAGGGGAAACGGTAATTGAAGATTTATCACTCTGAGCCACTTTTTTTTTTAATAGATCAAGAATTCCTGCAACACACTAATGTAGAAAGAAATATTTCCGTATTGATTGAACATCAGCCTTATATGAAAAACTATATTATTGCGTTTTAATCTTTATAGAAGTTTGGGAAATTGACAGTTTTGAAATTGACAGTTTTTATTTAAACTAGTAAAATGTTGGGACCATTAGAGCAGCTTGATTTTAAACTGAAACCGCGATGACCGAGGTAACCGCATGAACTTTTACTTCACCTTTGTTTTTAACTAAAGCTTTTTACAGATATTGTCGAAGCATCTTCTCAGGGCTACTCTAATTTGGTTTCACTTTTATTAAAAATTAATGTAAGCCACTTTTGAAATCTTCTACAAGGTATCTCATCTTTTCGGTTTGTTTATGTGAGTGGTGGTGGGGAGGGGGAGTTTCAGGAATTTCACTGTTTTCCTTGAAATAAATGTACATGTTTTGAGCCCTGCATGACACGGAGACACGGAGTTGGTTTCAGAAGCGCTGCTGGCTCCCAGTCTTGGTAATCCTAGACAGTCCAGTCCTCCTGGACACTGCTCTCAGCCAGAGGCTGCTTCTTTCTGCCTCTGTCCTGGAGTGAAGCCTGCGGCTGCTCTTTCCAGTGAGCTCAATCTTTTTTATCCAATCCTTTGATTAAACTAATGATAAAGTTAATTAGGCCTTTCCATTTCAGTGCTTATACAGTGGGAGATTACACTGAACTAACTTTTCTGGAGCAGAAAAGTAAATGTATAGTTAATTGAAGCTTTCAGTTAAGTAACTGAGAGCTCAACTCAAAGAAAGCTGCTGTGCACTTCAGGACCAAGAGTGAGAGAACCCCATTTTTTATAGAGCTGCAGTGCAGAACCAGTGCAATGGGATATTGGATGCTTTAAACCTTTATTAGTATTATGTGGCTTCCTTTTTCCAAAACGTGCATAGCTGTGCATTTTGTTAAAGGGTACAACCACAGTGCCCCAGCCCCAACTTACTACTCCACCCTGCTCGAAAAGTGGGAACAGCCTGAAAGACTGGAGAAACTAAATTCTGATCTCATCTCCTCATCTTAAAATTAATTTAACAGCACAAAATTTAGTTTTACGTTTTTAAAACTTTTTTTCCTACCCCTTCACACTTTCAGTGTTATTTTAAACATAATCTGTTTAAAGTGACTCAAAGTGGCTGTTTTAGGTTACTTCAAAGAGACTGTTCAGAGCGACAATGCTGTGCTTGTACATATGCACTCACACTCAAGCAATAAAGTTAAAACAAATGCGAAGTGCAGTCAAAAAAGTCAAACTTTTGAAAGATCTGTTTGCATTGCACTTTAAAAACGTTTTCTCAGAATCTGCCAAGTTAGCGCTTAGAGAAATCATCCGTGTTAATTTTTTTTATTAAAAAGAGTATCTTGTCTAATGCTTTAACGATCTTCACATGAAGTTATTTAAGATTAGAGAAGAATATAACTAGCCTTGATGGTTTCATTGCTGGATTATTTGTTCCCACCACTCTGCCATTAATCTGCTCAGTCTTCATTTCTCAGGGCTCGATGAACATTTTGAAGCCAAATTACTCTCAAGAATCATTTTCTTAGTAGAAAACATGCTTGAATCAATCTCCTGTAAGTTGTCTCAGGCTAGCTAGAATCAACTGTTATGCTGCATTTTCTATTAAAAAAAATGTATTTTTACAACATCCTGCATTCAGAAATAACGTGTTGTTACTTAACCAGTTGTTTACAACAGTACAAAAAGCTTCTTAATGTTCCAGCATTTTACTATGTTTAACAACTTAAGTAGAAACTCAGGCTTATCAATGGATTCTTGCATTGAATCCAAAGGTGCACCGTGTTTGAGTAGTTACACTGTACAGAAATTCATTTGTAACCTGTTGTTCACATCCATTTCTTGTGAATAGAAACATGGATTTCATGTGAAAAATCCATTGTTTACATTGATTTAACAGAAACAAATATTCTTGTTGGTTGACTGGTTGTAGAAGCAAGTGCATGTAACAACCAGTGTTTTAAGAGTGCAGTTATTTTTTTTTTTGCAGTTTACAATAAAATATGTAATTACCTCCTACCTTGTCACCTCTCATAAATCTACAAGACGCATAACAGGAAACAAGGTCCTCTTGGGCCCATTAGCATTTTGATGCTTCACTTCCTCAGAACAGTAGGAGTCACATGGAAACACACACCCGTGTGGAGGAAGCAGAAGAAGAGCCCGTTTTGAAGTGGTGCCTAACATGAGGATTGTTCCAAAGCTATTGGTTTTTCTTGTAGTGAAGAAGGCAGCAGGCTAGCTGAAGGCTTTCTTACAGCCATGTTAGGTTCTACAGGAGGCAGCATTTTCAATGTAGGAACTCTTTCGAATCTGAGATGAAAGTAATAAAAGTAGTCCTTTATGCTTGTTGTGTCTGATAGGACAAATCCGTGATTTGTGTAAATGAGTATATATTGTAGGCAAGGGCTTCCACACAGGTGGGGCTCATGTGTTAAGTAATGCCACACATGGTGGCCTGAGACCCTACTGAGGGACTTTATATAGGCTTCTCCATTTTTCTGCCCACTACCTATACATATACAATTATTCACACGCAGTATGTAAAGAAGAAAGATCATTTATTTTAAAATCGAACTCTGAAAAGGATATTGAAAACTTTTCACTTCTACAGGGTATACCAAAAGACAAAAGCTGATGCTTAATTATAACTCCAATCATAATCAAGCAGTGAAAAAATACATTTATTCACAATTATCAACCATGAAACTATAAAGTCAGAAGCAATATACTGTACAATGCATACAGATTTTTACAATGTAACTATTCATCATTTGGCATTTATATATACTTTACAATAACAAAAATGCCATAGCATTAATCTTTTGTGGCTTATTTTAAAGTGTTGCTGACACGTATCTTGGTGGTAGGAAATGGTCCAGCTGTACATTAGTCACTCGACACCTGGCCACAAAAGCCTGAAATGTATTTTTTTGGTTGCCTTTAGATTTAACAGTCATTGACCCAACAAACTTGGCTTCTGTGTTGTCTTACAGTGATTATTTCCGCATTTGGCTCGATATAATCTCTATTACAAGTTAACTTCACATCAACATTTGCAAAAGAGAGCCGAAGTTTTAATGGAAGTTTTCAATGGCTACTCTGCACACAATACAATGAAAATGTTTAGGTCACAGTAACAGTACTAATAGTACAAGCGCACAGTTTCTACGCAAGCAAAAGATTCTGCCAAGACAAGCTTTTGTTTTGCTGTTACTGGTTTACGTATACTGTGTCTTTAAAAGCAAACATTGCAATTCCAGTATAGCTGACAGGACAAATATCTAAAAATCAATTTATAAGCTCCATAATTGAGTGTCTGAATTAATAACAAGAGCTCTTTTTCTCTCAGATAACAACAAAACCCTAAGAGCTGGCACTGTATGTACAGTATACATCCTCATCTTACCTTATGTCTAATTTATTTTTTATTTATTCATTTTATACCTGATTATTAAGTGTCATTATGTGTGCAAAGAAAAATAACTCCATGCTTGATCCTTCAGGTTTCAGAAGAACTGCACACAAAAAAGTTTTTTTTACAGAACATGAAAGAGGAGGTTTTAAAATTAAATGTGATGAATATTCACACTTCCAAGAGAAACCGAGTCAAAGGCATACGTGCAAGGAACTACTCGCCTCACGTCTTTGGAACTAGGCTGAATCTTCAAGGCTTCATGTTTTAATCATGAGTAAATCACGATATTTCTGACACTACATAGCTATTTTGTTGTGTTGAACTAAACAATGTGTAGTTTCTTCAGGTACTAGATTAATCAGTATACTTTTTAGCTTGTGTTTACATTTTATGATTTATTGGGGGAGAGGGCTGCCTGAACCAGAATTTATATTCTCAGTACCACACCAGTTTTTTATTTACCACACTCCATATCATCTAGTTATATTTTTTGTTAGATAAATAGAATCATTTCCACAAAATTGCATTTTAGTCATACTTGTATGTATTGTTCCCATCAAATTATACTGCCTTCATTCTAAATGTTTCTTTCTAAATGTTAAGAAAGTGCACTGAACAAAAGAAACATCAGAGAGGGAATGGGGAGGGGGAACAATAACTTCTGTTTTAAGCAACAACAAAAAAGACAGCTTTACAGAAGGAGGAGATATGATTTCCTAGACCACTGTGGGCTATAGCAATCCCATATATACTGACAGAGATACTTAAAATCTAGCTCCAAAACTGAGCTCACAGCAAAAAAAAAAACTTGCAATCTTGTAAAAGCAGTTTTGCGGAGTTAATGCTTCACATCTCTTTTACATCCCTGTTATCTATCCCTTAAAACGCTATACATGCTGATTATTAAAAACAAAACACTGAGTCAGTCACATAAAGCGCTTTCTCCCGTACCTCACATTTGCGGCTACAATGTCTGCAGACAGCTTTTCAAAACGTGCTACAAAGTACTGAAAGAAAATCACATTTCCTGGAACAAGGGCGAGCATGCTGCAGTTCCCCCTCCCAGAGATTTTGCATTTCAAATGCCTTTATTATGTTTGTAAAAAAATAAAGTACCAGCAGTGTACAATAATTCCATACAACAAAAATATTACTTGATAGAACCAATATAGCACGGTCTAATTTAGTAGATGAAGTCTATTGTACAGCAGTCACAGTTCACTGGTTCAGATGGAGACTTCAGGCCTCCTCCTGCTCTGGGTAATTGAGGATTTTGCGGTGAGCCTGGCGCAAGTACTGTTGCTGTTTGAAGTACACCTTGAAAGCTCCTTTAATGGCAACAAAAGCGATTCCACCCTGTGAACGAAACAGATTCAATATTTATACCTAGCAGGAATTTAAAAAAAAATACATTATCTGATAGAAAATGCATATAGCCTTTATATGTCTGCTTCCAATCTTCAAATACCGTACTTCAAAGTTACTGTTACAATGGTTTTGATCTCCATCTTTGAAGGGACAATTCCAAAGTTAAAACTTTAAGCTCTATTAAAAACATTGAGCAATGTTTGAAAAGGGGCCATTTGTGAAAACACTCTCATCACCCCTCCCATTCAGTTGCTTTAGACCCATCATATCGAATAAAGCAAGCCTTCACAAGACTGCTTTAACATGAGGATAACGTACACAGTATAAAATATACATTTAATAGCAGTGGTTACTGGAGTCACTCTCGCATGAGGGCTTTATGGCTCAGAAGGTGCCTATCGAAGCCTTCCACTCTTTCTGAAATCTTTCTTGGTGTGGTGTCATGTGACCTTTACAAATACTTCTGCTGTCTTTCCAGGACATTTCACATTCCTTTCTTTAAAAAATCACAGCAAGATTGCACTGCTACCATTTTATTCCTCTGCAGTAGAGGAATGTTCAGACTTTGCTTTCTAGTCCAGAAGCTGCACGAGAGACCTAGTTGTCCAATGGCAAATGTCAGCTGACAAGTAAGAGGAGCTCCTAGAATTACCCGGTTTATGAATCCTCTTTCGTCTGGCTTCATTATTCAGTTTCAAAGAAAGCAAGCTAAAAAGGAGACCATTGTTTCTGTGAAAGTTGTGGCCTCACACCAAGCCACCCATAACTACGAAAATTTCAACATGAATTATTTCCCTGAATAGAGTATTTATACTCTTATCTGGGCTTGATGATAAAACACGCCTGACTCCTTCAGGGCTTGCTGCCACAGTGCCACTGAGAATTGGTGGCAGGCCAGTTACACAGAAAGGTAATCATGTTCCTACCAGAATAGTCCTTTGTAGATTAGAGTTGACACTACTGAACATCAGCTTTCCCACAATAGTGGCGATTGTTGGAAACACTAGAGCCCCACAGAGGATGCGAGTGGCAGAGACATGATCTGCTAGTGGGCTAGCCTCAGCTGGGATCCGAGGAACAGGACAGCCGATGCCTGCAGACAGAGCAGCCGGTCAATACAGAAGCACACTGCGGCACCGCACTGCACGGATAATACAGCACAGATACCAGAACAGCGCAAGTGTTAACGTTGAAAGATTCTAATAAGAACAAGTCATGATGGCCGTAAAAAACAAACACAACCATTCTCAATGCTTAGCGGTTTCCCAGGCACAGTAATCTCATCTGCCACTGAAAACCAGATATAGACACATCCCCCGGCACTGCACTTGTGCTTTGGCTTCTCGCACTTGTGCGTGAGCAGCAAGCCGAGCCAGTGCTTGGAAAGGTCAAGGGTCTGGGTCTGTTCCGTCTCAGACTAGGATCTGGTGTCTGGACATTGATCACTTTCCTTGATGAGCTTAGTGGAAAAAAAGTAAAGGCTGCTGAGGAAAGGAAGCCAATGGGGACGCTTGGGTTACTTTGTTAGACGTTATGGGTGTAGCGGAAACAGACATTGCAGATGGGCTTTTCTTTGTTGACAATGTTCTGCGGCTAGATTTCATTCTCGTTTGAAAACGGATCTCAGCAGCATGAGTTTACATAAAGCTTTAACTGAATTTACTTTTCAATAGTTATGCAAATGTGTGGTTTTTTTCTCTTTACATCCCTCCTCTGCAAGACGACATCTTGCCTTACCTGGAAAAATACTGTTTAAAATCTGCAGTTTGTTGGAGTACTTGCGCCACAGCCTAAGCACATAGTCTTCCCAGCGGATCATTTTGCCCAGGATCAGCATGACGGGGATTGTGGGAAGGCCGATCAGGAGGAACAGAGGGTCCGCCCTCTCCATCACATCCAAGCCTTCTTTGTGTCCCACAACCTAGGAGAGAATCAGCAGTCACTAACTGTGCACTTAAAGATCTTGTTTATGATGTGGGGAATGATGAGCACAACTGTGAACATCTTGTCTTCATTTTAACTTCAATTAACTAGACGGATACCCTCACTTCAGATTAAAACTGTAGTTTTCTACTTTTTGTCAATGCAAAAAGTTAATGAATAAAAAATATATCCATACAAGAATGAATACCATTGTTAGGCTAGGCCATATGGCCCACACACATCTTTTAAAAAAAAGACTTAGTTCCACACGCTTGCTGTAATTTTGATTCTTAATGGCAGGATTTGCAAAAACCTTCAGTACCGTGCAAGCTGAACAAAGGCACCATTCCTGCTGGTTATAAAACCTTGCTGCAGCGAGGTGGAATTAAATTCAAGGATATTTAGAGCTCAGCACAGCAGGCACTTAATTAAAAATGTTCGTACATTCTTTACTGCAGCAGAATACAAGGAAAACAAATGAGGATTTTCCCAAACATATTTAATGATAAAATTAGCATGTTTCAGCTATTGGTGTCTTGACAAGAGGGAAAAAAAAAGCTAAACAAGCACAACGGATTGAATAAGGCTTGCTCGTTTTTTTGCAGTATAAACACGCTCAGATAAATGACCTGCAGAATTTTCCGCCACATAAACAAAACGCGCACCTGCATGACAGTGACGGCCCCGTACGTGACTGCGGTCCAGTAGATCGACCCCACCATGATTCCTGCGGCAGCGAACGGACAGGCCTTGGAGATCAGCCGGTCTGCCAGGTCTAGAACGTACACCACTGGACCTGGGGAGAGCACAGCACACTGAGGAGGGACTCCGGTGGAACTCAGGAGCCACAGGAAAATGCCACACCTGCTGCATTGCTTGTGCGGCACAGCTACAGTGGTGCAACACCTTAACTCGTTGTGTGACGGCACAACTCAAAGGTGTCTTTATCCGCCCCTCCTGAACGTTCTGTACACGGTGGAATCCATTAATTAAAAAAAAACATTAAAATGTGACCTTAACACCTACCTTAAAACTAATGGAGCAGAAAATGTATTTAAAAAAAGGACAGAAAAAAGTGTCCCCATCTCCGTAAATAGTCTTAGGTCTTCTGGCAACTTAAGCATGTGAATGTAACTTTCAATTATTTTGCATTAAATCTGGGTTAAAGATAGGACTGATCCATTGAAATTGCAAGGCTTTTACAATGGAGGAAAACGTTATCATTAGGCCATAAACATTGAACCATGTTAGAGAAGCCATAGCTTAACATATAAATGCATTTAATTTTGCAAAATAGTGAGGATATTAAATAGGATTATTTTACTTACAATAGCAATAATGTTAAAGGAGTGAAAGTCCAGCGCCGAAAAGTGTAAAAGAATTTAGAAACCACGAGCGCTTCAGCCTTGCTTTTTGAAGTAACACCCTTCATGTACCCTTTCCTTTAAAACAATGTTTCAGTTTAAAAAAAAACAGAGTAACCTCACCTGAGAGCCAGTGATGTAAGATGTGCATAATGAGATAATGTTCAGGCTTGAAGAACAATGCATACATAGTACTACATCATCCATCAGAACAGCTCATAACAGCAGAAGCAATCAAACTCATTTCCTTCCAGCAGGGGTCACAAAGAGCCTGCTCTGCCAACAGAATGTACTCTTTTCTCTGATTAAGAGTTCATGCCAGCAGGCAAAAGCCCAGGGAACACGTAACACATCTAGGACATAATTTAATATTGATAAATCATGACTATGCACCACATAAGGACAGCCTTTAATATTTCAGCATAACCCATCAGCTACGGATATACCTACTCCTTCTTGAAAGGTGCTTGTCCCCTTATGGGCACATATGAAAGGCATAAGAATTGCTTCTAAATAGATCTTTCATTTCCAGAGAAAGGAGACAACTGCAAGCTGGTGTATCAGAAACTTATGACCAGCTTTACACTGCTTTCTATTAAAGAAGCTGCAGAGAAGACTCTGGCTACCAGGGGCATGAACACAATGATCCAGTACTGCACTGCTAAGATACGTCAGTGCCCAAGTAAGATTTTATGTGATTGCAGAACTTATCGCCCGTTTCTGTACTCAAAACAAGGAATTTACTTTTTTAATGCTTCAAAACAAAAAAGGAAGCTGAGGCCTCAACTTATTCTTTTGCCTTGAATCTGTTAGACTTCTAATTAGAGAGCAACATATGAGAATGGTTAGTTCAAGGTTACCTGACAGTTTAAGCCCTACCTTTTCTTGCTTTTCAACAACAACTGATGTTTTCTCATTTACCACTTTTTCTGCACAAAATTGGATTGCATTGCTATTTCCCACAATTTATTTTGCATTAACAGAGCACTTTTCTTGTTTTGCCATTGCTATTGATGCATATACAATCCCTGGGAGCGAGAACGATGATCCTGAGAGTGAGAAAGGTTGGAAGTTTTCGCAGCACTGCTCTTCGTCACTTGTCACACCACCAGCCTGTGAAGGAGCCCCAGACATTTTGGCAATGACAGCAACCCAGAATAAGGGTAATCTCACCCGCATGCATGATCCAGAGAAATGACATCGGAAGCTCCTAAAGACTCCTGGGAGCTGGGCTGTCATAACTTCTTAGTGGGGCTGACAGAATTATTACAGCCTAGACAGAATTATTACAGAATTTCTTTACATTTGCATAGACACAAATGCCGTTTAATTAGTTTATTTCTGCACCACATTTTCTCCAAATGAAAAATTTCCTTTCCCACTTTCAGAAACGATACATACAGTACCAACGAGGGGGGGACAGAAGTACGTGAAGTTTAAAAACGGCAGGTGGCCATTCGGCTCAGCTAGATTGTCTGGATACTAGGAGTTAATTGCTCTGAAGAAACTCATCCAACCATTTCCTGAAACAACATGGCTGGGTAGATTGTTCCAGACCCCCTTTCTGTATCCTCTGAGTCGTGTTTCGCGCTTGATTCTGAAGGAGTGCATTGGGTTGAATCTTTCAATGCCTACAAGGATTTCAAATACTTGAATCAAGACCCTATCTTAGTCTTGCAGAGCAGGACTGGAGAAGCTTTCAGCTATTGAGAAGCTAATTCTGGTCAATACCACTTTTTTATGAAAGATTTTAGCAGCAAAACAAACGTTGATGATACAGATACCATGCAACCAATGAAAGCAAGCACAATGCTGATGAAGACAGTGATCTGGGACTTCCATTAATGAACCTCTAAAGCAATACAGAGCAATTTAATGTAGTCCTTTCACCAGGGGTAGTGTAAACAGGTCTGAATGAAATGTTCCTTTGTAACATTTATTGTTCATTTGGCAGCAAAGGGCTACCAGACAGTGCTGTCCTTTGTCTTTCTAAAGCAAATCACATTCAGAATCTCCTTCAAGAACTGCTTCCTCTTGCATCAGGGTGACCTTTTTGTAAGTATGGGATTTTTTCCTGTAAAAGAGCATTCTGTCGATTCCATAATGTGGGTTCTGACGGGAAAAAAAAAACAAAACCAAAAAAAGCTTGGTCATTTAATACCTTAATAAATCTGACTTCATATCAAGTAATCCCAATCACAAAAACCAACATATGTACTTGGCTAAATTCCACCCTGGGCTTGCTCTCTCAGGTCTATATAAAGCTCCCCGTTAATTCAATTGATGAAGCAATTTCTCGCTTCTCTATCTGATCTGCTGAGTAGTGGGGCTGCAGGTGCATAATGGCTGCTGTGCACCACCCTGGTGGGGGCTGCAGTTCAGTGGCAGGTTTCCCCTGCTATATATAAAGGCCTCTGGCCTCCTTCGGGATGAAAAGCACTATATACAGTAATGCCGGAAATGACTGTTTTCCTTTATAAATCTGTGAAGACGAAGCCCTCCGAAAGAAAGGGGGAGATGAAATCCAGCTGCTGACCTGTGCACCCCATGAATCAAATGAAAGAGTCCATATGGCACTCTGTGACAAAGAAATATGTAAACCAAGAAGAGGTATGAATCATTGGGAATCAATAAAAAATAACCAGCCACACATCACTGGCTAGTTGAATACATGGATGTTTTTTTAACCATTCCCCCCCTTAATTCCCAGGGTAGGGTTAACAGCCAGATTTCTTTTACTACAGACATGACTCATGACCCTAAATACACAACCTCACACAGACAAAGATGGAACTCATTCTAAAATGCAAAGCCGCTTGCTTATAAGTGAGGAAGTAAAGTACATTTCCTTTACTACTCGGATGCAGTATGTAGCAAAGCATGGATTTAATAACAATGGACTCAAGGAGAATCCATCCACCCATCGATTTTCTAACAGCTTTATCCATTAATGGGCTGTGGGGGAGCTGCAGTTTATCCCTGCAAGCTACAGGCACAAGTTGGGGTACACCCTGGATGGGAGTGCAGGGCACACGCAGACACCAACATGCACTCATTTAGGGCCACTTTTTCCAGAAGCGAATTAACTCACCAGTATGTCTTTGAACTGTGGGAGAAAGCTAGAGCAACCAGAGGAAACCCACAGAAACATGGGGAGAACATTTTAAACTCTATCCAGATGGCACCCCCCAGAAACATGAACCCAGGGCCTCATCACTAACCATCCTTCAGGAAAGCTCTCCCATACAATATGAAAGCAGTGGAAGTAAGAATTCCTCATGCACATCAGGCACATGGTAAAAATGGTTCTTGCACCCTGGTGATGCTACGTCTCTAACGCCGACAGCTCCAAAACACGACACCTTTGCCCATCACAGGACAACCCCGACTAAAAATGTCCTGCCTCATCCAGTTTTTCTTGGTTAGCCCAAACGCTCAGTGCACTTCCAAACAGATCGACGTCTGAATTTCCTCGCATTGTGTTTTCTGGGCCTTCTAGAACTGGAAGAGCGCAGGCGTTCCCTTGGCTCCAAGCGCAGCTGGTCGCTGTGAAACCGACACCCCCACAGCTCTGGAGTAAGAGAAAGCCATTTTCACAGCTCAGCTAAATGCCACATCCTGAGCAAGCACTGTTTGAACAAAAGGGATGGAAAAGGGCAGGTGTCCAGGGAAACAGTTGTCTATCTCTGGGAAAAAAAAAGAAATTATCTTTACAGTAGACGTCTCCTATTCTACACTCTCTCATTCCCAGAGCTTATCAGCTCTGCCCAGCGTCTGTCCAGTAGCTTGGAGAGATCTGCTATTTTTGCCAACAAGACATGTGCCCTGGCCCTGAAAAGTCAGAAAAGAGTTGACTGGTTTCAATTTAATAGAGAGAAAAAAATAATTCACCTCAATCCTATGTGTATTACTTTGTGGTTTTATATCCTGATGTTTTCAGTACCAAGGATATTCAATAAAAAACGAGCGCTTTAAACAGCATTGCGCTTTCAATGTGAGCAAAAAAGTGTCTTTATTTATACTAGAACTCTAATCAGAAACAACAAGGGAATGCCACACCAGACTGCGAAATAAAAACATGGACAAGATCAGACTGCAAAAAAGTACTTTATTGCTTTTGAACTATTCAATGATATTCTGTAGCAGCAATAAGTATGCATTTAGAAATGTCTTAGGGGTTCCCATATATTAAATCCAAATATCTACACTGGTACTGGAATTTAGGTTAGATCCATCTGAATATATAAACTGATAAGAGCTTGAATGTCTTATGCATTAGTGAAATAAAAAAAATATTTTGGCTTCCTGCTAGAAACTTTGTGCATGCAACCTGATGTCATTTTAACACTAACATTTCGTGACGTAGCACAAATGGCTTCCCTGGGTTCACACAGTTCATCAGACAGGTGATTTCTCTTTAGACAATGTCGTT